AACAAAAAAGCGACTTTTTTATATGAAACACCCTGTGTATTATTTCATCATATGAGATTAGCGCTAATTAAATTCTCTACATTCACCATAGCGAAAATATACCTACTTCAAATAGGTATAACGATCTACTCCCTATTTCTCTATGTGCCCATTTAAAAACTAAAAAAATTCATCCCTCTAAATAATATGTGAATAAAAATGTATAGTAATAGAATAGCCTGTATGCGTTACTTACTTTCTTTTTCGTTTTTTATTACATCCTAACTGTTCCAATTATGACAAATAGCATGCAATGTACACAGGGTGTAACAACTTACTATACGCCAACAAAGCATTCATTGGTGGAGGGGAATAAAATAATCATTTTTTGGAATAAACGACGAGTCTCATGTACTACGTTCTAATGTCTCCAAATTTGAGTTTGTTCTTTAAATTTTTCTCAATAGGAACAGCAACAATGGAACTTGCAGATTTCTCTAGCTATGCCTTTTTTTATATTAAAAAATGGTTTCCAAATTCCTAACCCAAGATGCTCCTAAATGGGGAAGCGAAAAAAATTTCGATGTCGATTAAACTTAGTACCTATCTGGGAGTTTTTCAACGTGAAAATAACCAGTCCATAATCATTTTTTTTCCAATTTTCAATTAGAAAAGAAAATTACAGTTAATTTCCACCACGAAATGGTCACATTTTCATGATATTTAGTGGGTACACATTTGAGAACAAAACTGTTATATACCTACCTATATTTGAAACAAAAAGTTATATGCACAATTTTTTTTAATTTTCAACAACCGTTTGGTTGCGTAATTTTGATTGTCAAAGATAGATACCTATACCCAAGCTCAGCGGGGCAGAAATTTTTTCGCATCTCCGTTTAAGTTTGCGCCATTTTGTGGTAGGAATTTTGTAAAAAAACGGTTGCAACATTGCATGATCCGAAAGAAGTATCTAGGTAAACCTTTCAATTGTATCCTCCCTCTTATGTGTTTTAATTGCTCAAGAAAAAATTGAAGACGAAATTATAATCCATATATCCATAATGTTGGGAGATATCTCAAAATGGGGGCGAATTACAACAATAAAATTCTTAGACTTTCCCCATAAAATCTATATGCGGAAGGTCTAAGAATTGTATCGATTAAAAAAGAAATGTCCATTTTAAGGCTTTTGGGAGCGTGACACTCAACTCAAACCAGTACTCAAACTAAACCTTCATTTTATTTGCAAACTCAATTTTTATTGACATGCTTAATTTTACACACTGTATGATTTCGAGTTTCTACCAATTTTTCTCGTTTCTTTATCGTTCTGACTTGCAGTTTCTACAATAAGGGGGTAGTTGCGAATAATCGTTTTAAAGACAGAAAATATAGGTAACTAACAGGTATTTGATAAATTGGCAAATAGGTAACAATGAGTGGTTTATTAACCATGGACATACCTTAGAGGAGCTGGAGCTCACTTACAAAAATGTATACGGCTATAGATACCTACCTACTCGAAATTAGGTAGGTAGGTAGGTAGGTAGGTATTCACTAGTTTTACAATAATTCCATGTATCCTTTAATACGGTAATTCTAATAACTCCGAGTAATTTTAACTGTAGGTAGGTATCTTTTTATCAGTGCATGTGCAAACCAATATTGTATTTAATCGGATGTTGAAATCCAGTTTTCAATGGTATACCAGTGTCTGAAGTTAAACATTTTTTTAAATATCTTAAAAATTAGACAGTGTTGGGGTAAAAAGTTTGTTGCTTCGTGTATGAAAACTAACTGATTTAAGTGTCTAACTCACTATGTAACTTAACCCTGTTTATTCATGAACAGGCCTTTACTGTTGTGTCGTTTTTTGTAATAAGTTGATTACATATGTCACCAAATTAGAAAGCCCATTTACTTACTAAGCGACAGAGCAAAGCGATGCAAGGTTTACAGGGGGAGTCGATGGTGTAAGTGACCACGATAACTGCCAATCGCTTGGACCGACTGGGTTCAAATTTTGCACAGTTAAGCTATACCAGGTCTTAGCAAGCCTATATATTGAAAATGGGTCAAATCCAATGACGCCGTAGGGTCACAACGAGATGCTCTACCGCTTTTTTTGATTCGCTTTAGGATTTATTTACCAACGGAACTTGCCCTTTTACATTGTCATTGGACAACCACGTAAAATGATAGTCAATATATAAGTGTAGGAAGTTAGCGACGAACTATGCGCAGCGACGATGACGTCATAACCCATTATGCATATAAACAAAGCGGACAGTTACTAGATCATTAATTACGCAAAAAGTATTGTAAACCATAACCTGAGGTAAACAATTTTAGATTCTACATTAAATAAACTATTTAATTTCCAATTTTTATAAAAATATCTCTAAAGATAAAAAAGTTACGAAGCATTTTATTTTTGCTATACGTTTACTTAGACAAAGTGATGATCGTCGACGTAATATTTCGCAAAAAGTATTGTAAACCATAAACTGCGGTAAACAATTTTAGATTCTACATTAAATAAACTATTTCATTTCCAATTTTTATAAAAATATCTCTAAAGATAAAAAAGTTACGAAGCATTTTATTTTTACTATACGTTTACTTAGACAAAGTGATGATCGTCGACGTAATATTTCGCAAAAAGTATTGTAAACCATAAACTGCGGTAAACAATTTTAGATTCTACATTAAATAAACTATTTCATTTCCAATTTTTATAAAAATATGTCTAAAGATAAAAAAGTTACGAAGCATTCTGTGCGGTCTAACGTTTCTTGCTATACCTACGTTTACTTGCATGCAGTGACTTTCGGATTATTATCATACTCTGCTGTTGATTTGAAAATCAGCATGGGTTTACTAATAGTTTGGAAGGACAACGAGAATTCGACGTAGAACTTTTGAAATATTTAAAAATTATAATTAAACAGTTTATGTATGTAAAATTCAAAATTGTTTACTGCAGCTTATAGTTAACAATGCTTTTTGCGTAAGAGCATCACTTTGTCTAAGTAAACGTATAGCAAGAAACGTTAGACCGCATAGAATGCTTCGTAACTTTTTTATCTTTAGACATATTTTTATAAAAATTGGAAATTAAATAGTTTATTTAATGTAGAATCTAAAATTGTTTACCGCAGTTTATGGTTTACAATACTTTTTGCGAAATATTACGTCGACGATGATCACTTTGTCTAAGTAAACGTATAGCAAAAATAAAATGCTTCGTAACTTTTTTATCTTTAGAGATATTTTTATAAAAATTGGAAATGAAATAGTTTATTTAATGTAGAATCTAAAATTGTTTACCGTAGTTTATGGTTTACAATACTTTTTGCGAAATATTACGTCGACGATCATCACTTTGTCTAAGTAAACGTATAGCAAAAATAAAATGCTTCGTAACTTTTTTATCTTTAGAGATATTTTTATAAAAATTGGAAATTAAATAGTTTATTTAATGTAGAATCTAAAATTGTTTACCTCAGGTTATGGTTTACAATACTTTTTGCGTAATTAATGATCTAGTAAATGTCCGCTTTGTTTATATGCATAATGGGTTATGACGTCATCGTCGCTGCGCATAGTTCGTCGCTAACTTCCTACACTTGAAGGAAATTTCTTTTTCTTGCCGCTGTGACTCATGAAACTGCTCGAACTACCTTCGGCTGACTCTCCCTCGATCTGCTTGAATTTCAGCTCTTCGCTCAGCAACTTACTTTTTACAAAGTCAAGAGTTACTTTGCAGTTTTCTTGCGAGAACAGTATGTCGATGGCTGTGACAACACTTTGATATTGTGGCTTTGTGATTGACGCTAGCAGTTGTGAAATGACTTCCAAGTTGTCCATTTTTCCCCCTGCATTTCTTAGCTCAGTCACTGTTTTTTCAAATTCCACAATGTAATTACTCAGTGAGTCGGTTCCACTAAACTTCATGTTCCGCAGCTTCCTCTGTAGTTGCACTTGAGAAGCCACACCGGTCTTGAGATACGTACGGTTCAGAGTGTCTACGATCTCTTTAGCTGTGGTCTTAGCTTTGATCATCTCGAGAACGTTGTCGGCTAAACAATTTACAATCAGGTTTCGTGCCTTTATATCCTGCTTAACGAACTTCGCACGTTCTTCCACATCGGTAGGTGCTTCGTTGTTTAAGGTATCAAGAACCCCGTGATGTTCTAATAGCAGCCTCATTCTGAACTCCCAATTTGAATATCCCTGTCCATCGAAGGGTTTAATGCCGATGGGCATAATGTTCTGAGACGCCATTTTCAACACACGCGAATGTAGGACACACGTTTTAATTTTCCACTTTAATACAACTCTATCACGACTAATTCACCAAAACTACAGTTAACGAGACTGGGCCCATAACCTATAGAATGTCATTCAGGCGAAAATAACGTAACACCGAGTTTTCTCATTAAAGTATAATTGGAAATGCTACCAAAACGTTCAGTACAATGAACTCGTCTGCATCCATGCATAAACGCATAACATTAACAATGGAATAATGCATTGCCACGCCACCTATTATAAACAAAGTTAAATGGTAATATATTACAGGGGCGCAATAAGGCGGAATTGTACTTCAATATTTATTTTTATTTTATTTATTTTATTTTATTGCCTTTATTTTATAGTGGGCGGAGTGTTAGCAATTTGCTACTCTTCCCACTCAACCCACTATACAATCACAAACAGCCATGCCTTACCTGGGATTCGAACCCAGGACCCTTGTAGCCAAAGTTAGAGCTTCTAACGTAAGCTCTTCTGAGCTACGCAGGTATTATTCAAGAGTAATTTGGTTGTGGCTAATTTGAGTACATACGTACAGAATAATGGAAGCAATTTAATAATGGGCCATTGTAAGAGGACTCATGTGTAAATTATGCTGTTTGTGAAAGTGAATTAAATCAGTTTGCCCAAATTACAAAAGACTCTAAACTTACAGAGTTCGTAAATGATTATATTATAAACAGTATTCATTTCAAGAATAGTAAAAAATAATGTTACAACTATTTTAGTGACTATTAATAACTTCTTTTTAATGTTGAGTGACTAACACTACTCATTTGTACGTGTTGCAGAGGTAATATTCCAGGAAGTAATATTGGAAACGGTGATATAATTATGGACTACTTACAACCGTTTCCCCCGCGAGGGACTGGTCTTCATAGGTATATTTTTATATTGTATAAACAGGAGGGACATGTTGACTACTCATCATTGAAAAAATCTTCGCCATGGTTGGTTGGTATTATAGGTTTGAACGATTTTCTCCTCAGTACTTCGTTACAGTTACAATCTAAAGGACCGGACTTTCAACACCTTTACCTTTTATAGAGATCGTCAGGATATTTTAACACCGGCAGGTTTGGCCTTTTTCCAATCCGACTGGGACAGCACTCTTACTGACTTCTATCACAAATGTTTAAGTAAGTGCGGCGATCAGTACGAATAGGCTAACAATAAGTTGCAGATATGCGAGAACCTGTCTTCGAATATGATTTTCCTAAACCGTACATAAGACCTCAGGAATGGTTTCCGAAACGAAAGCCTTTTAATATATACATGGATAAGTATAGGGATCCGAAGCAGATTAATAAAGAATTTTTGATGCGCAAATTGAAACATGTGCATCCGTTCAAGCCCCCTCCAAAACCGTTACCGTATCCGAATGCGGTTGTTTTTGAGGGTTATTATCCTTCGTGGCTGAAAACGGAAATCACTAAATCGAGATTAAGGTGGGGAAGAATTAACGACATTGAATAAGTGATTACATTTTTCAAATAAAATCTGTACAAAAATCTTTTTTTCATTCCCTTATGGTTTCTAGTCGTTTCTTGCCAGCTGCTCGACCTGTAAGATTTCAAAATGTTATCCTTACTGAGATCCTTACTCTGTCTCTTTTGTTCTCGTACTTCTAAGTAATACTTTTAAGTAAATGTGCAGGTAGCATTTCTACTTGTACCACACGCTCTTTCTTCAAGTGTAAAGCACATTTTTATACAGCGCGTAAATTTTTACTCTGGACATACAAATCGCTTGCATATAAAACTCCCTACGGTCAATTCTAAAATATACATTTCAAATGCCCCTTAAGATATGCAACCAATCTTACTACCGACTATTTTATTATAGGATTTATAAATTGTCATATAATCCCAATGAATTCACTGTATAATCCCAAGCAGCACATTTAAAATCCTTTACAAACTTTATGTTTTAAAAGATGTTGTTTGAAGTAGTGTTTATTATTTGTCCCATACCCACAAGTAGTACATTTAAAATCGTTAGAAACTTTATGTGTTAAAAGATGTTGCTTGAAGTTGCTTTTATAATTTGTCTCATAATCACAATCCGGACATTTAAAATCCTTTGAAACTCTATGTTTTAAGATATGTTGCTTGAAGCTGCTTTTATAATTTGTTCCATAATCACAATCGGCACATTTAAAATCCATAGACACTTTATGTTTTAAAAGATGTAGTTTGAAGTTGATTTTATCATTTGTCTCATAATTACAATTAGCACATTTAAGATCCTTCAAAACTTTGTGTATTAAAAGATGTCGTTTGAGGAGCTGTTTATTATTGGTTCCATAATCACAAGTAGCACATTTAAGATCCTTCGAAATTTTATGTTTTAAAAGATGTTGTTTGAAGTTGCTCTTATCATTTGTCCCGTAATCACAATGGGCACATTTAAAATCTTTAGAAATTTTGTGTTTTAAACGGTGTTGTCTAAACTTATATCTCTCGTTTGTCTCATAATCACATTCATCACATTTAAAATCCTTTTTATGTGTTAAAAGATGTTTTTGTAAGTTGCCTTTATAATTACAATCACCACATTTAAAATCTTTCAAAACTTTATGATTTAAAAGATGTCGTTTGAAGTTGCATTTAACATTCGTCTGATAATCACAATTAGCACATTTAAAATCCTTAGAAACTTTATGTTTTAAAAGATGTTGTTTAAAGTTGCCTTTATAATTTGTCCCATAATTACAAACACCGCATTTAAAATCTTTTGAAACTTTATGATTTAAAAAATGACGTTTGATGTAGCGTTTATTGTTTGTCCCATAACCACAATCAGCACATTTAAAATCCTTAGAAACTTTATGTTTTAAAAGATGTCCTTTGAGGTTGCGTTTATCACTTGTCTCATAATCACAATTCCCACATTTAAACTCTTTAGACCCTGTTTTGCATAGAGTCAAAAAGTGACATTGCAAGTCAGAATGTTGCTGTACTTCTTCATTAGAAAGAGATGTAGAACATGGTGTACTAATGCCACTAATGATAACTTCGTCCTTTATTGTCACCAATACTTCGTTGTTTACTGAAATGTGTCTCTGAAGAAAAGAATGGATTTCTTCTTCTTGTTTTGGTTCAATTTTAATATGTAGTGCGTCATCTCCATCCATACCTAATAACAATAATGTATGCGATATGCGATCAAAAATGAGTTGCTGCGAGTGACCTTTGCAATTTTTGTTTACATGGGAAACCGTACTTAACTTGAACTTTCAAAGGTGACTAGACAGCAACTCATTTTTGATCGCCAGTTACTTGTAAATGTGTTAAAAATCAGTTTTGGGGTTATCAAAAGTCTATTTTGGTACAATACACTCTAATTCACTTGAAATTCACACGACTAAATATTTTATTCAAGGTACTTGGGCATAGTTCGAATTATACAGCTCTTTCTTGATTAAATTCGACTTACAGAGGTAACTGTGATAGTAAACAGATGCTACACCGGGTATGATTCACAGACATGTTGCAACCTGTAGCCATGGTTCCAACTTACAGAGGTCTGTTGAGAAAACTTCGAGATGTAGACGTAAACTAAACTGGATTCTGTTTGGTAATTTTTTAGATTTAGACAGGATTCCCAGAGGGATTAAAGATTGAAAACACACAACTAGCTAGAGCCGACTGTATTAAACAATAAAAAGCGAGCAACCAGACAGTACTTACTTTCTGAGTAACACAGTAACAGAATTTGTTGAATAAAGAGTTTCACCACGCCACCAATAATTATTTTTATTTTCTTTGTTTATTCAAACCTTATTTTGTTATAACAATGGGCGCGTTCATAACACACAACCACAGACCATAAAGGTAGGTTTACACATGAATCATGATTGCTAAAATCTTGAACAATCAGCAATGAACAAAAAAGTTTTTTGATCACGAATTCCTAACCTATAAATGTAAGGATATTTTTACTCAAATGTTAGGTTAGTCAATATTTGTAATTAAAGAGGAGCATAATCGTGCAAGTACTTTTACTTGTATTTAAATTATTTTCATAATCCCAACACAAATACGTAATTCGAATGCAAATTTGAACTCTTAAATTCGCGCGTTCTTCCTGTTCTTTCGGTAATAGTTATTTACATAATAAGTCATGAAAGTGGTCGTTTACATGACGCGGAGGCTTATTGAAAAGTACGAGGACGCGCAGCGTCCGAGTATCTCTTTAATGCCTCCAAGTCAGGTGGACTCCCTTTCATGACGTATTATGTATAAAATTTTACCTGAAACCGCAACATGTAGATAACTTTTCCAAATTAAATTATTCATATGTGTGAAATTTTGATACCTAATCACGCATGTTAAAGTCACTTTATTTAATTGTTTCCATAGAGATTTCAATCATAGTCATTTTTAATGCAGTTTGCAGTTTATGCTTTGTACTTTTCAACTATACAGTCTTTATAACTAGGTACAAAAGCAGTAGTGCAATATTCGCTCCCCACAAAATCAAGAAAGAGATACGAAAAGGCGTACAAACCTTTTAATGACTGGCGCAAAACTAAAGGAATAATTACTTCCACACATATTCCATTAATTGTTAGTAATTAAAAGACCATTATCCTTTGTGTAGGTGTATTAATATTTAAAAATATCCACATAGTCTGCATTATAAATATCCAATCGTTGATTGAATAACTTATTCAATGATCTAATTGTTATTTTGCATGTACTAGGACTGTAATGGGAGTCAGGCAAAAATATTACAGTACTAGTCAGGTAAAGATTAACTTTCTAATGTCAAAATAGCCCTGAAATTTAGATTTTCTTGACGGTTTCAGGTAAACGTAATTATACGAACCACGATTTTGAATTCATGTTCGCGCTTTCGCGGAAGTAGCCGAAAGAAAGCGCATCCAGTCTCCATATGATATTAGCATTCTTGGCAACGCTGCATTTTATTTAGATCAGTGGTTGAGAATCGTGTCCAGTTTTTTTATAAATGAAAGTGTTTTATTATGTTTACTACTGGTAAGTATGTACTTTTCACCGAGCATTAGATTTTCATTCATTTTAATTACCATTGGAAGGATAATAAAGTTTGTATTGGTCCAAGATCCGAGCACTACTAAATGTTACACATACTGTTTTTAATATCATTTGAATATCTTTAGGACCATTTCATAAACGCCTGATTGGTCCCGATGAGACGGGCCATTGTTTAAGTTTACTTTTTCACGCGTACCATCAGTCGACCGATCAAATACCTAAGCAGGGGCATCGGTCTAGCCCCTGTGATCAGAACACATTCCAGCCATTGAATTAAGTGAGGGTTTCATATGTGTGCCTTCGAACAGTTGGCTATGGAATAACAGCATTCCACCATTTGTGTCATTTAAAAAAAAGGTGGCAAAACACAAGTACTTATAGATAGTACTGTAGTTTGTGCAGTAGAAAAGAGAAAAACAATTTGGGATAGGGGATCAGAAGATTATAAAAAAATCGGAAACTAAAAAGTACTGCTTGGAATGGCAAAGCAAAAAGTGACAACGCGTTATTATGCGCTATGCATGTAAATTTTTGCAACTGACCAAACGCATGCATGGTGTTCAGGATTAAACTAAACATGACATCACTGCCAATTGTGATGAAGGGCAATGTCCCTGTGCATACTAACACTACCCTTTAACAAATTTTGTTACTCGGAAAGTAAGTAACCTCTGATGGCTCTGGGATCTCACTCTGTATTGTTTAATAGCAAAATATTTTTTTAACACATTTATTTATAACATTATTGTTAGGTATGGAAGGAGATAATGACACACTACTTATTAAAATCGAACCGAAACAAGAAGAAGAAATCAATTCCATTCTTCAGGGACACATTTCAGTAAGCAACGAAGTTTTGGTGACAATAAAGGACGAAGTTGCCATTAGTACACCATGTTCAACATCAGTTTATAATGAAGAAGTAGAGCAACACTATGACTTTCAACGTCACCGTTTAACGCAATGCAAAACAGTATCTAAAAAGTTTAAATGTGCTGATTGTGATTATGCGACAAACTATAAAAGCAACTTGAAGCAACATCTTTCAACACATAAAGTTTCTAAGGATTTTAAATGTGGTACTTGTGATTATGGGACAAATAATAAACACCTCCTCAAACAACATCTTTTAAAACATAAAGTTTCTAAGGATTTTAAATGTGCTACTTGTGATTATAGCACACACTATAAACCACTCTTCAAACAACATCTTTTAAAACATAAAGTTTCCAAGGATTTTAAATGTGCTACTTGTGATTATGGAACAAATAATAAACACCTCCTCAAACAACATCTTTTAAAACATAAAGTTTTTAAGGATTTTAAATGTGCTACTTGTGATTATGACACAAATTATAAGCAACTTTTCAAACGACATCTTTTAATACATAGAGGTGCTACTTATAATGATGATGGGACAAATAATAAACACTTCGTCAAACAGCATTTTTTAACCCATAAAGTTTCGAACGAGGTTTCGAAGGATTTTAAATGTCCTGATTGTGTTTATGGGACCAATGATAAATACCTCTTCAAACGACATCTTCTAACCCATAAAGAAGTGAAGGATTTTAAATGTGTTAATTGTGATTATGGGACAAATGATAAATACTTCTTCAAACGACATCTTTTAATCCATAAAGTTTTGAAGGATTTTAAATGTGCTGATTGTAATTATGGGACAAATAATAAATACATCTTCAAGCAACATCTTTTAAAACATAAACTTTCTAATGATTTTAAATGTGCTACTTGTGATTATGAGACAAATGATAAATACAACTTCAAATCTCATCTTTTAAAGCATAAAGCTTCTAAGGATTTTAAATGTACTACTTGTGATTATGGCACTAATTATAAAAACCTCTTCAAAAAACATATTTTAAAACATAAAGGTTCTACTAAGTTTAAGTGTGCTACTTGTGATTATGAGACAAATAATAAATACAACTTCAAATCTCATCTTTTAAAACATGAAGCTTCTAAGAAATTTAAATGTGCTACTTGTGATTTTGGCACTAATTATAAACATCTCCTAAAAAAACATGTTTTAAAACATGAAGGTCCCACTGACTTTAAGTGTGCTACTTGTGATTATAGGACAAATGTTAAATACAACTTCAAATCTCATCTTTTAAAACATAAAGTTTCTAAGGATTTTAAATGTACTACTTGTGATTATGGCACTAATTATAAAAACCTCTTCAAAAAACATTTTAAAACATAAAGGTTCTACTGAGTTTAAGTGTGCTACTTGTGATTATGAGACAAATAATAAATACAACTTCAAACAACATCTTTTAAAACATAAAGCTTCTAAGAAATTTAAATGTACTACTTGTGATTTTGGCACTAATTATAAACATCTCCTAAAAAAACATTTTTTAAAACATGAAGGTTCCACTGACTTTAAGTGTGTTACTTGTGATTATAGGACAAATGTTAAATACAACTTCAAATCTCATCTTTTAAACCATGAAGTTTCTACTATTTTCAAATGTAATACTTGTGATTATGGGACAAATGATAAACAACTCTTCCAACAGCATATTTTAACCCATCAAGTTTCGAAGGATTTTAAATGTACTAATTGTGATTATGAGACAAATGTTAAACGCTACCTCCAACAACATGTTTTAAAACATAAAGTTTCTACAGATTTTAAGTGTGCCGATTGTGAATATGGGACAAATCTTAAATGCAACTTGACACGACATCTTTTAACGCATATATTTTCTAAGAAGTTTAAATGCGCTGATTGTGGTTATGAGACAAATTATAAATCCGATCTTAAAAAACACATTTTAAAACATAAAGTTGCTAAGGATTTGAAATGTGCTCATTGTGATTATGAGACAAATTATAAAAGCAGCTTCAAACAACATCTTTTAAAACATAACGTTTCCAAGGATTTTAAATGTGCCGTTTGTGATTATGAGACAGTATAAATCCGTATAAAGTTTCTAAAAATTGTTGATGTGTTGAGGGCGCATGCGCAAAAAACAATATTCAAATTAATTATGACAGCCAGATCTGTATTTGTTTTAGGAAGTTGCATAAAATTAGGCGCCCTTCGGAAGATATTGTCATTTAGAAGTAGACATAGGGACAAACAATACACGTAAATCCCTATGTCTACTGTTTAATAAATAGCACTGCAGATATAAAACTAATAGAAATTTGACAGTAAAGCTGACTTTTACTAACAAACTTAGGTAGAGCACCCAGAACAAAAAACTTAGAAGGGAAACGTAAACGGGAACAACTGAGTACAAATGGAATTAGTTTGGAGAACATTCAATAGATGGCGCATAGTTAGCGTGCGTGTTAAAGTTACTTCAATCTAGTGACTTTAGTACGTGTCGCCATTATGACAGTTGAATTTTGAATTTTGATTGACGGCTTATTGTGCTTTAAGTATAATTACTATTCATTATTACAATGAATTATGCATATACAAATCGAGAACGTAAATGTTGTGTGACAAATTGTGAAGACGTATCACAAAAATGGAGCCCGAAGTTTTTATGGAATTGGTTTAGAATATAATGTGGAAGAAATTTACACAAAAGTTTTTGGTTTGTGAACGTCATTTTTCTGGTTGCGCTTTAGAACCTGGAACACGAAGAGGTTTAAAGCGTGTGGCAGTTCGCACATTATTATCTTTAGCAGGTAACACTAATTGAATTGTAATAAATTGCTACATATTTTGTTTTTAGAACAATCTTGAGAGTATCATAAAGCAGAGTTCCATGAAGTTGATCTTGTATCTTGTATATCCATATTAAATTAAATATAACTCCTTGGTTGGATTAATTGGAGTTGTTACTTATAAAACAAGTGGTCTGTACCCTTTGAAGCCCCTGACTGCTGTGCATCGGCATTAAACTGAATTTATCTGGATCCCTATCAAACAAAATTGGACTTCACTGGCTGGATTCATTTACCTTTTAGGTTTCAGCTAGTCAAATCCAATGTTATTGTTACAGATCCGGAGAAATGCAGTATAATGCGAACGTAGCTTACATTTTAATATTTAAATTTGGCGCCATTCACGCAAAAGCTGCTGAGAACATACACGAGATGGCGCGTCATTTTTACATTACATTAGAGTTTCCATTCTAAGTTTGTTGTTCTATGGTAGAGCAGTATAATTTGCAATATAGAAGACTTCACTTTTTCAGTTTATCATGTGCGCTGTCGTAATGCAGTAATGTGTATTTGTTTATAAAATGCCTGTTTATGTTTCGTGTTCATCAATACATCTATAACTCTGATGCCTTTTTTATCCTTTTTAGATTTGTAAACACGATTACTGTTAATTGGTATGCATTAATTGATCCCTACTGTGTTACAACAAATGATACAATCTGGTGGTGAGCCCAGAGTTACAATAATACAATAGTAAATAGAGGAGCGGTACCAGGACCTGCGCATGGAAAAATAATCCCAAGTAGAGTGGCTAGAAAGAAACCTGGAAAAATTGTAAAAGTATCATAGTAACCATAGTGAAATTTAAACTGATAGATGCAAGTGTGTTTTTACTTTTTTTAATGATATATTTTACATTTCCTGTTTTCGTTAGTATTTTCGTATACGTACGCAAATTATACTAATTGAAATTAGGTTGTCTCATGTGTAAGCAACTTTTTCTAATGTAACTGATTTGGTATGTACATAAAATAATTTTTAATTGATTTTGTTGTTTCCTCCGTATTTAATCAAATGGCATGATATTAAAGGCAATAAAATTCTCTACAAGAAAGCTTCAGTGCAACATTTGCCTAAATTCGTACCATTAGTTTATAAAATAAGCAATATATATGGATTTCTGCCATAAACTCAATGATAAATGTGGAAAAAATGGCGGTTATGAGCATTTGACCACACTGTATCTATAGTCACTGTAGGCAATGACATAAATGCTATCTAGCGGTTCAACATAAAATAAATAACCAAATAACGTTTTATAATTAAGCAACCTTCTGCAGAAACAATGGGTCACAACAGTGTGATAATGTTCTGAAAGGATTGCTACAATCTATTCATCAACACTCTGTATACAATAAAGGTAAAATATTTTATATTTGTAGTTGGCAATGCTCTCTAAAATCTCCCAAACAATAATATTATACTATCGTCTCTGTTCGGTCAAAAGGATATGTATCGCGCTATCTCTTTTTTTAAACTTTTTCATATTTGTTTTATATATAAAAATACCATTTAGGTGAATGTACAGAGAACGTTTTCAAATTAACAATTTTTGTGATCGGTGACCTCTTTTTCTATTTTTCATGCTCGAATAATCATCTTGCCGTCTAAATGTGACACACTTTCCAAATTTTCATTTACAAAAAATGGCAAATGCACAGCCCGAGGAACACGAATATTTTCCGAGAACCGGTCGAGTTAACGAAATGTGCAGAGAATGGGTGGTAAGAGAAGACGGTGCCCTGGCCCATCACTTACAAAGTCAAGAGATAAACGAGCACCTGCAAGGTAATCGCTTTCGGAATGCACTTGTACGCGAGGATTTCCCACACGCGTTAGATGAGCAGTTACGCGAGCAACAGCTTGCCGAACAGGCTGCGGCTGTTTATCATCAAATGCTCGCCGAACAGGAAGAGATAGACACGATGTACGCACAGAAGTTAGCCGATAATTTGGAAAGGGAGGAACGGTCACGAAGGCGTGTGCTTGAATCTCACGATGACATGTTCGTTCGTCAGCTGTTGGATGTGAGCCGTTCACCCACCTCACGCATTCACCAGTCTGAGGAGATAACCACTGCATCGAAAACGTACAGGTATTTCCAGAAATCACAGGTCTTTTTAAAGCGATTTTTTTAATCTCACTGAAATCACTTGTGATGCTCTTTGGCTTTCTTTGATCTTGAGGAAATCACGATTTCTTTTTGTTTTCTTTTCTGATTTGTTTTCAGTATTCTCAAATTTGTTCAGGTAACCTTTTTACCCAGGAAGTGTATTTATAATGCCAAAAACAGTGAATTTTTCTTTTGTATTTCACGGAGTGTTTTTCAGAAAGCATATTATAACAGGTTGAAGGAATCGATGGTTTTACCTACACTTTTGGATATGTCTATGTACCGGCTGACCCAATAAGTCTGTTCCTCGGCCATATCTTGGGAACCGTTTGTCGTTTGGCTTGGGGGTAAAAAAATTATTAGGTAAATCGGTAATGAAGGATCGCTGGAAAATATTTTCAAGTTCTAAAAATGACCAACAGAGGGCGTAACTGCCATCTTGAATTTTAAAATTGCATTTTCTTTCAATTTCGCATAATAAACTAAACATTCTTAAACATTTTTAAAAAGAACCAGTTTATCTATCATTTTCATAAAAACAAAAACTCAGTTAATTCAAAAATAAAGATGGTGTGGGGCGTTCAATTGTTTTTGTAATAACCTGCTTTAACTTCTTAACCGTTTGACCAATTGTAACAAATTTGGTATAAAAGTAACCAGAGAGTAAAAGAGCATTCCTTGGGCAACAAGAATCAACCAAAATATAATTAATTTAGTTGAATCTTTCTCCGCCAGGGGGCTAGTTTTGACACTATAATCCAAAATCCTAAAAAAATCAAATGGAATGATACCAAATAAGACCCAAAGAGGCCAGTGAAAACCGTTTTTCAAAATCTCGTTCCTAACCTCAAATATTGGGAAAATTAGATTAATTAATTAATTAATAAAAACGTATTTCTGATATTTGTCGATGGCCCGAAAGATTGTTTGGAAAATGACCCTACACTTTTAGGTAGGTCTTGGAAAATTAAACAAATGAAACACAATGCATTATAAAATAATAACAGTCGTAGTTTGTAAATTATTCTGTTGTGTTTACATTTAGAAAGTGCAGTTTTTTGAATTTTTAATCTTTTCTAAAATGTCTATTTCTAACCAAGAAGCATTTAATAAGCTGGCGGCGATGGTTCGTGGACGATTCGGATAACGCAAATAGAAGATGCAGCGATGGTCGCATTTTGAAAATACTCAAAATATATCGCCAGCAAAAGATTACAAATTCAAAAAACTGCACTTTCTTTAATGTAAACACAGCAGAATAATGTGCAAATTATGGCTGTTATTATTTTATAATGCATCATGTTTCATTTGTTCAATTTTCCAAGGCTTACCTAAAAGTGTAGGGTCATTTTCCAAACAAATACCAGAAATACGTCAAATAAGATACAGTTTAAGCATTTTTATTAATCAATTAATTAATCATTCTCATTTTCGTAATATTTGAGGTAGGAAGGAGATTTTGAATGTTATTTGGCTACTTTTTCATGAAGAAAAAGCGAGAAAAAGTCATATCATTCCATTTGATTTTTTTAGGATTTTGGGTCATAGTGTCAAAACTAGCCCCCTGGCGGAGGAGGATTCAACTAAATTAACTATATTTTGGTTGATTTTCATTGCCCAAGGAATGCTCTTTTCAACCATACCAAATTTTTAAAAAATCGGTGGTTAAGAAGTTAAAGCAGGTGATTGCAAAAACAATGGAATGCCCCACGCTATCTTTGTTTGTGAAATAACTGAGTTTTTGTTTTTACGAAAATGATAGATAAACTGGTTCTCTTTAAAAATGTGAAAAAAGAATGTTTAGGTAATTATGCGAAATTTAAAGAAAATGCAATTTTAAAATTTAAGATGGCAGTTACGCCCTCTGGTGGTCATTTTTAGAACTTCAAAACATTTTCCAGCGATTCATCATCTTCATAACCGATTTACCCAATAATTTTTTACTCCTAAGTCATATGACGAACGGTTCTCGAGATATGGCCGAAGAACAGTCTTATTGGGTCACCTGGTATATGTAATCTCAGAATTTAACGGTTCATGAGAGTTACGTTACCCATTGTATATATAACTTAAGTAATGAAGGGAATTTTTCTATTTTAAGTGGATGGAAAATGGTCGAATGGGATTGGTTATTTGAGTTAACAGGTTCAAATATAACCAATCATAATGAAAACAGTCAAGGTCTAAGAACTAAGAAGGTTTATCATATTTAATATTTAACGCGTTTTCTTAAACAAATTAAATTCTCTCCCAGGGATACCCCCCCCCCTAGAAAAAGAAATAGATTCCTAATGTACATCCTGGGTATTCCTAACCCCCCAGACCCCTCGATGGGTTATGTATTACACAAACAAAAGATAGTGAGATGGCACTCCCAAGAAAAAATCAGAAAACATTGTTGGGGGAGAAATTGGTTGATTTCATAGTGTTCTAGCTCAGGGTCTCGACAAAAGGATCTACCGGCCTTCTTTCTTACCCCTTATCAAAATGGGAGGGGGGGGGCGTAACTGGTTTTATCCTTCATGCTACTCTTATGAAATGTCTCAACGAAAGGAATTCATTATTTATTATGTTTTAATCTAAAAAGATACCGTATTCTTTTTTTAAAAAAATATAAAAATTCAATATTGATTCAAAAAATTCAAAAATCTGAAAATTCTTTTGTATTTTTTTAATCACTTAGAATTTTTTTAAAGCTCTAATCAGTGCAATCTTTTTTTAATACCATCTTTGGCGTGTTATATTTTTGAAAAAAAAAACGGCATTTTAAAGAAACTTTTGTAATTTGTAACTAAGAAAAGAAATTAACAATTTTTCGATTTTTGTTCATATCTCTTAAGCGAGCGAAAATTTTACCATTTTAAGTGTGACCCAAAAAGAGCACCCTCTATTACTTTTTTATTATACCTGAATCACAATCTCCGTTTTAAACACTCAAATGCGTGCGAAAAAGGACCTTTAAAACACACGTGCTTTAAAGTTGCTAAGTAACGATACTTCAAGTATGACTTTTGAAACTGTCATCTGGATGAAATAAAAAATCCTCTTAGGTCGCTTTCTGTAAATGCAGAACATTTCTTTGGCTTTTGTACCTATCCTTTGGTTGAAGCTTTCACAAACGCGCGTAATTTAGGGTATGCTTCCAAATCTGTTCCACTTTTTAATCGCAGCATTGCTTTAAAGTTTTGAATGAATGCACCAAAATATAGAAGATTTAAATACCTTTGACATTTCCTTCATATATGCCAGCATTATGGATGCATTTAAGACTGTATTCGTAAGTAACTTCCTATTCATCCATGGAAACAACTTTTCATATTCTTTATAATAGGCTTTGCTGGAGTTGGATTTTACACCTACCAACGTTTGTTTAGATTTTACAACGATTTAATGGACGGTGTATTATCTTTTTCAACGGAAATCGTTTAATTCACAAAGGCGATGATTTTTATAAGCAAACGTCAAGTGACATTTCCATGGCAATCGTGAAATTACGAACACCCAGTCCACTTAATTAGACATGTATTCGAGTATAACGTCAATATGACTTCATTGTATTTCCTATTTTTAAATTATACTGCAGGTATAATAAAAAATACTATAAGATACACGTGTATAATTGTCTTTAAAGCACTTGCAACGTTAAAGGCACTCCGCTTTGCGTCGTGCCCTTAAACTCGTTGCGCGTGCTTTAAAGACTTGATTATACACTTGTATCTTAATATACTATTTTGATAGCAGTAACAATTACGGAGACCCTATAAAAGTGTCGAAAATGGTACACAATTCTAGCTTTGTTAATCTCTCAATTTTACGGATACCTATACCTCCATAATATCCACCAATGGCCATATTGCGGATATTCATAAATATTTGCATACGCTTGACCAATAAAATACTAAACCATATTTTTGGGATATGGAATGTGATTTTTTTCAAAATCTTTTGTGTCGGTTCGCTTGTCACTCATAAAAATATACAAATTTGTTCACGGAATAGGTGGGTCGACCTCTTCAGGAATGTTAAATTGACATAAAATTTTTTTTTATACAAAATCCCCAAAACGATCGACTCCTATTTTCTTCAATTGACAGCTGATTTTCTTCTCTTGAAAGGTAGCCGAAAATCAAAAAATTGGATTGTGGAACGTCTTGTGCTATACAATCGGATCTATTGTATCACCTGGTTTTGAAAGATTGTAGACTACTCAAATCAGGAACAAACCGAACTTCCGGTTTCTCGAAATTTGTTTATTCACTGTAATAATTAGACATTGTTCCACAATAGGGAAATGTCAAAATTACCCTTATAACTGTAGCGCAATGAAACGTGCTGTAACCACAACTCTTATGGTAACAATTTATTTAAAGGCGATCACCCTGCTCCAATAATGTAACAAAACAAAAGTGTTCGCGCACGTGGCAAGAATGTGACGTATTCGCACTGTGTTTACGGTTAAACATAAATCAGTCGCTACCCGACGAAGTTCCACTTTTGCATAAATACGTCACTTAGTATTATTGGTTTTGCTTGTAATGGCAATTCACAATGAATTTAAAAAGCGCGCACGACAATAATTTCGTCAAAATGGCGGCGCAGTTTTCCCTTGGAATTCGCCGATTAACTTCAATTTTCGCAATAAAATATACTTAATTAAGCGACTGACGATTCCTTCTTACACTTCGATTATACGGCTTCGTCTAGAACCTCTAATTGAAAATGAAATTTTACGCGCTCAACACACTAGTTTTGTTTCGAAAATTTGGCAAAGAATCCTCTCCCACCCAATTTTTAGTTATGTACTCGCTGGATTAAAAACTTTGAAACGGACCCAACGAAAACCAAGCGTAAACTCTGTTTTTAGCGCATTTTTTAAGAATTAAAAAAAATGTGCTATTGTTTGCGGTTTGTCCGCCCGTCCCGGACCCACTTCTACTGTTTTGAACTACCTACTTCTAGGGGAATAATGGTCCTAGAGTCCTGGAATTTTTTGCAGTAGGTAGCCTATACCTTTAAGGTGTGCCAGACGGCTATCAAATTTCGCTGTCTAAAAGCCCCCCCAAGAATTATTTCCTGAGATGCTGTTTTTGAAAGTAAAACGTGCATAACTTTTACAGACGACAACCAATTGGTCTCAGATTTTGCATACGAATGCCTTTAGTGGTGCCAAATTAAACTGTAGGAAATGGGGGGGGGGGGGGGGACATGCTCTACGCTTCATGGTATTCTAATGAAACGTCTCATCGAAATAAATTGGTTTGTACAAACTATAATTTTCCCGTGCGACTCTTTTTCGAGATCAGTGAGCGACGGGGCCTGAGGGATGGGGGGAGGGGGTTAAAAATGAATTTTATCTCTCATTGTATTCTAATTAAAGGTCTCAACGAAAGGCACAGTTTTCTACAAACTGCTGCCCTTCTTTTTGTCCTCTTATCAAAGTACTGTGTGAAGTGGGGGGGGGGGGGGGGGGGAGTGGAACTAGTTTTATCCTTCATGGTACTCTAATGAAAGGTCTCAACAAAAGGAATTAATTTATACTAACCATAGTCTTCCTCCTCGATCCCTTGTCGTGATCGGTTATAATTCCTTATATCTTAAGAGTGAATTGTCAAAGGAAAGTACCTACAAAGGGCGATTGGGACGTTTGGAAGAAATATAACCATTGGGCATTTAAATAAAATTTGATACATAGTCACTTGGAATAAAAGCAAATGTAGTGCCATTTTCCAAATTTGGTTTTGTGTAGGATGTGCAGTGCCAAGTTTCTTATTTATGGAAGAAATTTCGTAGGCGTGTTTAAAAAAATGCGCTTTATTAGTATCTGCACATGAGTTGTGCATAATTTGTACTTGTTTACACATGTGAAGGTATAATGTGCCTCATGCTCCGTCAGAGCGGTTTTTAGAACCGGCAACACTGTCGCGTTTTGATTCGTATCTGTGTGTGCGCTTGTTTCTTATCTTAACGCGCTTCATTCTCTCGCATATTAGTTCTGTTCTTTTTCATTATGAAGCAGTAGATACCTGTTACAAAAGCATTTGTATTTATTTCTACGATTTCTTTAATAAAACGTACGCGTATTTCCAGAGTGGACACCCCCCCACATCAGTCCCATCAACGAAACTCTGACCATTTGTCATCACCACAAAGGCCTGAAAAGAGTCGTCGTCAAGCGTTACCAATGCCACTGCCGGATAATAGCAATTACTCAGAGCCATGCACAGATGCCGAACATGGTGCTGTAGGCGATAATTATCTTTACATTGAACCGTACAAACCCGCAGATCTGATTAATCAGCTTGATCGCATCGAAATTGCCGAGCTAGGTTTACCATTAGAAGAAATTAGTGAACGTGAAAGGCAGCAGTTGAAGGACGAGCAATTAGCCCGTGAATTACAAGAACAAGAGAACAATAGCGAACAGTCACAACTCAACCGCGATCGTATGCTGGCGATTGAAGCTCAAGACAAAGAATTAGCAAAATTGTTACAAGAACGGGAACGTCAAAAAGCGAAACGTGCGAGAGAACGTGCCAAACAAAAGGCGCTTGCGAAAAAACAAGCCCAGGTCCAAGATGCGCATCAAATTATGCCCGACGATTCCTATTCCCATCCCGCCGATTTACTACAACCACCTCAGAATGTAAATATGATTCACACTCGTACCGATTCCCTACCAGTCGACGACGACTTAAATTACAGCTTTCCAGCCGACTTGGTCTCGCACAAACTCGATCACAACTTAAAACAAAATTATTCGCCACAAAAAAGCTTTCAGCGCGACACGAAAATTTTAAACTGCCCCGACAACCCCCCGGATAACAGTCAACAATCCTCACCTGCGAGACCCACTCAGCTGGATTTAAAATCGTTAAACTATCCGAACAAGACGAGGTACTCTGAGGTGCAAGCGCACCTTCAATCGTCGGCGCAACATACGAACATTGCGATGGCCATCGATCCCACGTACAATCGTCGAAGTCAACACTTGGTGCCTTATTACGATACCTCATCGAGCACGGTTACCACGAGCACGTCGAGCAGTAGTCCCGGCATGCTGCTGCCCCCTCCAGATCTACCGGAAGAAGACGACAGTCCCATTCCTCCCTACATGCCGATTCAGGGACAGCGTCGCACTTCGTCTTTAGAAAAGAAAACCAAGAAGAAGGCAAAGGACGGTTGTAAGCAACAATGAGACTGTTGGAGGCGAAGCAACTCATGGGCACGTAGGTATTTAGTGCCTTACCTTAAACACCAAATTGCTGATTTAGTTTACATTTTAATGAAACAGTACTGAATCAAACTGTGCCATTATTGCATTTGTAGCATAATGCATGGCATATCAAAATAATCTCAATATAATAACCAAAAATATACAATTTACCTAATTTTATATTTTTATATTTACGGTGTAGGACAGTATGTATATAGGAGATACCAGTGTGTTTATATAAATATATTTTTTCCATTACAGTCGTATTATGTCTACTTTACTGTTAATAATATGCACCGGAGGTAAAATATATTCATCACAAGCGCATTTAACTCCTGAGACAAAGTCAAAGGAACCTATCCTGGCCTTACAATGTGGACAGTTTAGTTTGCCTTTTGACCAATGTGCATCGACAACTATGGAGTGTATCCAGTCAGGTAACTGTTCCTCATCAATGTAAAAGAGATTCTCTTCCAATATACTGCTACAAGACTGTGGTTCATTTGAACCTTTCACGCCATGTGCATTAATAAGTGTTGCACATTCCCCGTTGCCTAATATGCTATTGCGACAACGTTTACATTTTATAGATACCATAATTCAAAACTATTACATTTACAATACAAATGCTAATCTTGTTTCAACTTTAATAGCATTTTTGTTTTTAAGTTTTGTAAAGAGAGGTTATGGTTCACTTTTCTGTAAATGTGTCTCTTATGCCGTACCGTGACAAAAAAGAGTGGTGACTAGGGTATAGGTAATGAGCTCTACAACTTTTTGAGGTAATTCGCAATAGCACACATCAAGAGAGGGCGCTGTGCTTTATAAGTATGGCCGCTTGTTTGAGGACAGCTGATTCATTTGTGTATGGATCACATAAGAGATCAGTTGTATTTTACAAACCTTTCGTTTTCGAAATATGCACATTATCAGTATTAGTGACTTATTAACGTATGTGGGTGTTGGCATTCGACCTTTGAAGGAAGGCAAGGCAGTGTTAGAAGCTAAACACATAATATGTGGTTTGTGGTAAACAAAATGATGCGATTGTAGCACTGTGCTTGCAGACCTCGAAATTAACAGACCATCCACATAAAATAACATTTAATTTTCATTAAAGTCAACAAAATCCTCTTGCGAACACAGAAGGTATAGTTCCTATTACTTGTTGCAAACTGTACACTTAAGTATTTGCGATTACGATTACGTTGAACAACGTCACATTGGAAATTCCTGTGCAGAATTTAATTCTGTAGTCATTGTTGATAATGTCTGCAATGCTAAACTCACGCTGATCTGATCTAAATACGTATTTACTTGAACAGAAACGTCCTTATACAACACATTCAAAGAACTTTCAGTCTCACAACACATTTCATTAACCGGCTTTTCTTCTTTAGTTTGCGTGTTTGCCTCGGTGTTTGCTAATAAAAGAAGCGTGTCGGCTGCTTCCAAACGCACAGCTTTTTCTAACAGTTGTTGTCGACGGACGTAGCGGTCTTCACGTTTTGCCTTAGTTTCATGATTAACTGCCGATTGATGCCGTATTTGAGGTAAATTTCTGCTAGGACAGGCAGTCTTCTTTAAACATTTACGTTTATGTGCAACGTCTAAAAAAAGTAAAATTCATAAAGAAGCACATCATCAAATTACTGCGGTTACCTGGTAAAATATAATCCTCTTTTGTAAAGTTACCACTACAAACTTTCATTGTATTTATGGGTTTGTCTATTCCTAAAAGAATTTTCCATTTTTTCCTACTCAGAGCATTTTTGGGGAATCCGTGCATTGAGACACTACACGCATAATCATTTCTACACTGAGGAACTGAGCAATAATGATTACTTTTTGTTATTTTTGTGTATTCACGTTTATTACAACGTCCATTTTTATCCTCAAACAGATAGTTCTAAAGTTGACCGCTAAGCGGAGACTCTTTAGTGTGCGCTTGCGAATAGGTAATCAATTGAAGTTCAAGATACAAATCAGTATAAAAATGAATTAATTAATTAATTGGCAACAAGCTGATTGCATATGCAACAAATATACATTAATGCAATTGTTTGCTTGTTAGATGTGTAATTTAAAGACGGATTCCCTCTAGGGGTTGGAACCAGAACCGAATGCATTTATAGACTTCTGACTTAGAACCGGAACCATTATTTAAGAAGTTATGATAACCGGAACAGATACCGCGGTACCGTTATTATTAGCACCAAAGAACCGGTACCTATTTTTCGGTTCCCTCTCTTTTGAAGGTAGAGTCGACACGTTGCGCTTAGCGAGAGAGAAATTCGTGTTTTATTTTTGCTCTTAAAATGTACTTCTGAAGTGTTGGTGTTAAAAACTTTTCTTAGATTTAACATTATTCAATTTGCTTATATAGGTAGCAAACAAATAGCATCATAATTTTACTCCCTCGCCGCTGAAGCGACTCAGTTCGTTAATCTTCCTCGAGAATAATAGCTATCATTATTGACTCGTAATATAATAGACTATATTAAATCTTGCTCATTCAAATCATCAGCCCTCATTTAATTAATTTAGAAATTTTGTACAAGGATATAGCATAGCACGGAAGTCGCCATCATATTACTTCCTTTGCGCTGGTCAGTTATGTCGACTTGAGTTATCATAAAACAGAAGAGACGATGTCAACGCTTTTCGCCCCCACTCTTATAACTTCGTTTTGATCTATTTCCGTCTCGTGCCCTTTTAATGCAACGTTCTGTCCTTTTATTTTTTACTCGTCATTTCATGAAACGCCTTGTCAATAGTCATTTAGTGTAGCTGTGACACAATATAGGTACTTTCTAAGGCTAAGCATGGTATTCCTTATCGATCTAGAAGGGGAAGGAAACTACCCCACATGTCAAATCGTCAGCGTTTAACTTAATTGACTGGGCTTTTCGTGAAATTACGGGTTTCACTAAAAGACTACGACATATACAGTGATTTACGGAAGTTGCTCGTTTCTTTAAAAATCGAACATAGTAGGGAAATTAAATTGCATACAAAATCGTATGTTCGCATTTTAAAAAATTCACATTTATTTAAATTTCGCCAGCGTTGTTTCGATATACGCCAACGGTACTTGTCGTTTGAAATTTTGAAAGCAGCCATCTCGCAGTCTTTACTAATCATCGAGGTAAACCAAAACTTTACCATCCTGCAAAGGTTTTAACTGGATGCACTGTATAATAGAATAATTTGTGGTTGGAATAGGTACTCTAGCCACAAGGCCTGAAATCTGTTTAGGGACTTTTACTTTTTACAAGTGCAAAAAGCGCGGTAAGGTAAATGTTTTGGTTATGGCAGAGCTTGAAAGGATAGGTTGAAACAGAAATGTTTCCTATTTTACCTTTTAATAGTTTTAATTATTTAATGTGATATCAAAAATGGATTCAAACAAAAGCAGTTTATATAACAGGTGCAAATATCAAGTAAGACAATGGGAGATTGAATTTAAAAAGAAGCATCGAAGAGTTCCATCGAAGGTATGAACCTTCATTCTCTTATATGGAATTAAGTAATCCTCATTTGCTTTTAGTTAGATATACGTGAGGCTAGCAAAGAGGTTCGTAATGCTTATAAGACGTACTTTCGTCTTAAGACTGCAGAACTGGAAGTAAGCTTAATGGACATTGATGGATTTGAAGGCGAGCTTCAAGTCGAAAACCCACCACCGCCTGTGCACCAAAGCCCTGTTAAACCTTCAACCGAGGAGAATACACCCGTTAGCAGTGAGATAAATGCGGAAGGTACCTGGGGAGCACATTTAAATAAGCAGACAAAGCCTTCCGAAGTTTTAAACTCTGAAAAACCGTCTGTGAATTTAAGTTTCACTCAGAAGTTGTTTGAGAAGTCCAAATCTAAAAAATTACCCAGAAAGTCATTGTCGTTTAATCGAAAGAAGAGCGATGTAGAGTCTAGACCGCAATCCTTGTCACAGCCGGACTGTTCGGTTTCGTGCACCGAGCTGCCCCTCAACACGGACACAGAACATTCTACTTCGCTTGTGAAAACTGTAACGCCAATGCGTACATTTTCGCAACCTATTAGTTTAATGCCTACAATTAATCGTGTAAATGCGAGTCTAACACGAGACGTGGACGCAGGTTGGGTACGACGCGCGTTGAATTGTAACAACGCCTTAGAGGAACACAGTGATGATGATGACGTTGTCGGAAACTCTGAAGACGATCTTGAAGACTCCTGTAGCATAATACAGCCCGCGAAAAAGCAAAGGACTTCGTGCAGCAACGGGGAACAACCAAAAGAACTTGCCACGATAAATTTAACGCATAAACGCTTAGATTTTTCAAATTTATTTCCCAATCAAGATGGAAGCAGTTTAAGGAATGGAATCGCACCCGTTGTCAGTGGGGATTCGACACCTGTGGTGAGCGAGGCAGTGACCACGGCAGCAAAAACCGACAGGTATTTCCAGTGCTTTTTTTTATTTTGCAGGAATCACTGGCCCTTTTCCCATATTCTATATTGATTTCTGCAATATGTTTACAGTAGTCAACGATCATACTTACTGTATGAGATAGATATAAATGCAAGAGTTATTTGTATTTAGATAGTTCAGTACAAATGGTATAGGGGGCGTTCATAGTAAACATTTCTTTACATATGTATGAAATTTAAATTTGCTAGACGGTCAAATTTGAGAGATGAATTCACTTAATCGTGTGAAAATTCCACTTAGGAGAAGGACGTAGATATTTTTCAGACATAACTTTTAGTCATACGTTGTTTTGTGTCGAGGGATTTGACAACGGTAATAGATATCGACTTCGCCCCTCTTGCGTATGGTTCCTGTGCAGGTGTACTATTAACAAATATTTTTGAAAAATTCATTTCCGTCCTAAAATACCAAAGACCAAAATTCATTATAGTGGTCCGATTTGGATAATGTACAGGGTGTCCCATTTTTATAGGGTATTTCCGTAATTGTTAGTGCTAACAAAAAATAATATAGGCGTCATGTGCTCTTTCTTGGATCAAACCTAAAATGGTAAAAATTAAAATTTCAAAATATTCGCTCGCTTAAGAGATCAGGGGAAAATAAAAAAATCGTCAATTTTAAAATGACCGTATATCTTCTCGCTTAAAAAAGATATAGAAAAATGTTTATTAAAACAGTTTCTTTATAATGATTATTGAATAATCTGGCGCATTCCAAAGTGTACGAGATCAGGTAATAAAGTTGTTGGACCTAACCTCATTTTTGTAAATGGAAAACCTGGTATATGTTAATCAAAACGGATTGAATTTTTTTTGTGATAATGTTTTTCAAGAGGATTTAATGTACTACTTTTTAGGTAAAAATATACAGCGTATGTTTGTTGTCGAATTAATGGACTGTAGCTTTTATAATTCTTCTATTAAAATAAAACAAATTGCCGCCTATAAAACCACTTATTTCGGCACATATATCGTTACGTTTTTGTTGTTGTAGTTAGTAATAATGTTTGTTAACAGTTCCGCGCAACTATACCCATTGTGATCGTTTCTTCCATGTATAATTGAAACTGGCCCTCCAGCTGCTCTCTGCACGGACCGGTTACAGAATCCTAGTTTTCCGCCGTGGAAACGCTTAAAAAATGTTGGCCTGTACCGCGTCAGTGGCTTGACGTAATTCTTTCTTCAGGATTCACCTACTGGATGGTTTAGATTGAGAAATGCACAACGCTCTCTGCGAAAACGAGCGGAGCAGATTTGACAGCAAATTGCGGTCGATTAACGAATGCCCTGTGTCCCACTATTTGCATTCATATCTATAGGTACCGCAGTTGTAATTTCTGACCCAATGAGCTCTTTGTCTTGCAGTGATGAATTGTATAAATAGTTACCTATTCCGCGCTATTATAAGCTTGTTATCATGGTTGCGATAGGCCTATTTAACTCTGCTCCCCTTTCTCTTACTGTGTAATTCGGTAACTACAGTGACACCCGCTTCTTTAACTGTTCCTATATACACACGTAACGCGAAAATACAAAAAAATGTATGGCGCCAATATACAGGATGATACATGCAGAGTGTCCCATTTAAAAAATGAGGTTAACTTTAATAACTTTTGTACCTGACCCCGTATACCTATTTTTAAAACGGCTGTTTATTCAACAATCGTTTTAAGGAAACTTTTGTAATACTCATTTTTCTGTATCTCTTTCAATTAAGGAAATACATATAGGGTCATTCTGAAAATGAAAATGTTTTGATTTTTCCTCGTATCTCTTATGTGAGCGAATATTTTCAAATTTAGATTGTACCATTTTAAGTTTGACCTGAATAAGTATTATTTTTAGTGCATTTTTTAAGAATTAAAAAAAATATGTTATTGTTTGCGTTTTGTCCGTCCGTCCGGACTCACTTCTACCGTTTTAAACTACTAGACTATGGTCCTATAGTCCTGGAATTTTTTGCAGTAGGTAGGGTATACCTGGAAGGTGTGCCAGACGGCCATCAAATTTCACTGTCTAAAAGCCCCCCCCCACGAATTATTTCTTGAGATCCTGTTTTTGAAAGTAAAACGTGCATAACTTTTACAATATACGACAACCAATTGGTCTCAGATTTTGCATACGCATGCCTTTAGTGGTGCTAAGTTAAACTTTAGGAAATGAGGGGGTGGGGGTGGGGGTAAACACATGTTCTACCCTTCATGGTATTCTAATGAAAGGTCCCATCGAAATAAATTGGTTTGTACAAACTGTAACTTTCCCTTGTGACTCTTTTTCGAGATCAGTGAGCGATGGGGCCTGAGGGAGGGGGGGGGGGTTAAAAATTAATTTTATCTCTCCTTGTATTCTAATTAAAGGTCTCAATGAAATCAACCGTTTTCTACCAACTACTGCCCTTCATTCTGTTCTCTTATCAAGGTACGGGGAGGGGGATGGGGGTGGAACTAGTTTTATCCTTCATGGTACTCTAATTGAAGGTCTCACCACAAGGTATAAATTTCTACCAACCATAGCCCTCTTCCTCGACCTCTTATCGTGATCGGGTATATTCCCTTATACCTCAAGAATGGATTGTCGGAAGAGGGGCCTCACAAAGGGCGATTGAGGCGTCTGCAAGAAATATATTCATTGGTGATGTCAAAACAAAAGGTATTTCGGTTAAAAAAATGCGCTCTATCTGCATAAGAGTTGTGCACAATTTATTTCGATGCGCTAACAGTTACAGAGATACCCTACAAAAGTGTCGAAAATCCTGTATATTTTTTAGAAAAAGTTTACTACATTGAATGTCATTCCTTACACAAACAGTAGTGCCATCTAACGTTTCAAAAATTACCCATGCAATCCTACTAGATCAAGAACACACTGTATATTATTTACGTTCCAAAATGTGTACTTCTGATTAGGGATGGGCGATTACAGGTTTGAATAATCGATATTATTATTAAAAATAATCGATTATACCGATTAATCAATTAATCAATCACTTGATTAATCAAAAAATCGATTAATCAGATAATCGATTAATTTAAAAGAATATTCAAACCCGATTATCGATTATCATTTGATTATAATCGATTAATCGATTTTTTTGGCCAACGCTTTTTCTGACTATACCATCAGTAACAATTTTGAAAATGTTTATTGAATGTGGCTATACTTAAATAATTTCCGTTTCGTGATTTCAAAGTGTTTTCCACGATTTATACAATAAACCGTTAATGTATTTCCAGAGTTGGTAGCCCCTCGGTGGTGAGTAAATCTCGCGGGGAACGTGCATCTGCCCGTAAAGCAAAGCCACTTAATGCAATGGCACTCGAGCAGTCGGACGAAGAAAATGAAGACCCCTTCCATTCCGATGACGACGATAAGGATGCAGATTTCGAGCCCATAGTTGAGAACGAGCCCGAAAAGGCGACCGATCTTAAAAAATCGAAGAGAAAGATTACAAAGAAAAAATCCGTAAGCAACGACAAGGAAGTAGTTGAAGAGGAAAACTATGAATTGGAATACTCGATTAAACCGCGTCTCACAAAGGTGCCACGTATTAAAAGCGTAAAGCAAGCTATAATTACAAAGAAAAAGGAAAGCGAATCGAAGGAGAAGAAAAGCGAACCGAAGTCGGCGGAACAAAAGCTCATGAATAGGATCGAATCGGGCACTGCGAACAACAATTACGTCCAAATTAATTTGAGGAAAAAAATTTACGTTCGCGGAAGATCGAAATTTAAGCAAAAGAAGAACGCCCTCTGCGGTCCTAACATGGATTTGCGCGGTTGCGACGGCGGTATGCTGACGTGCTTCAATTGCGGCGAGATCGGACATTTCTCTAGGAATTGCAAGCAGAAAAAGGCGGAGACGCTATTACCTGCGTCGGTCGCCGATTCCGACGACGAGGCTTGCCCGTACCCCACATTGGAAGAGGCGGAGAAAATGGCGCAGGAAAGCGTTCTCGCGATCAGGCCTTCGAATCAAGGCAGCTCGGGCGTCACTGATGGCGCCGCCGAGGGGGAGATTGACGAGCACTTTAATGACGAATTTGATAAGGAATTGTTGGCCATAACCGAAAATTTGGAGCAGGAGATTAGGAAGATTGATGTGCAGAAGTACATAGATTCTACGACATATGTTAGGCCCTACTATGGTTTGAAAGATGATGGAGATATTGTAGGTATGTGCAATGTGTCTGGAAAGTATACATTTATTTCGAAAAAGAATATTTGTATTTAATTTTTAGCCATTTTTTCTGGTTACCGTTAGACTTCCTTTTCCGTGGTTGGATTTTTTAGAATTGTTCTTGAAATTTTTCCGGGCGCCCATGCAGACTCAATTATATTATACAATTTTTAGAATCTTTTTTGGTTGTGAAGCGATTAGATCATTAGAATGTGGTGGGTGAAAATGCGCACATGTGCAGAAGTATCTCTGTATCTCTTTTACGTCCTTTAACGCTGCACTAATAAAAGACATACTCACATTTTTTTAAATCTCAAAAGAATGTGAAAGAATAATTTACTTGTTATTGGAAACACAAACATCAATTCGCAATATTTATGTGCGAATTTGCCCCCAAATATTACAATGGAAACTTACATTTGTTTTTAATTAGCTACCGTGCCACTCACAAGTGTCTAAAATTCTTACACGATATTCCACAAGTGTTTTTGCTGAGCTAATTCCTGTTTACGAAATGATGTTTTAATGAAGCCTTTTATAGATACCCCCGATGAAGTATACGATGCATTGAAATTATTCGGACATACCTCATTTCGTGACGGCCAAGAACTTGCAATCATGCGCATACTTGCGGGCAAATCGACCTTGGTAACGCTCAGTACAGGCACGGGAAAGAGTTTATGCTACCAATTACCCGCGTACTTATACTCGCGCAGGGAGCCTTGTATTACGCTGGTAATTTCGCCTCTCGTTTCCCTAATGGAAGATCAGGTGACGGGCATACCCGCTTTCTTGAAGGCGACCTGTTTACATACGAACCAGACGAAAGGACAGAGGGAAAAGGTAATGGAGGCGATCAAACAGGGCAACATAAACGTGCTGCTGGTCTCGCCCGAGGCGGTTGTCGCCGGTGAAAAGTCGTCCGGCTTCGGCTCTCTCCTGCGTCAACTTCCTCCGATAGCTTTTGCGTGCATCGACGAGGCGCATTGCGTTTCGCAGTGGTCGCACAACTTTAGACCGTCGTACCTCAAGATTTGCAGGGTTTTAAGGGAACGTTTGGGTGTGACTGTGGTGCTGGGTTTAACCGCAACCGCGACCAGAGTGACCAGTGACGGTATAATCAAACATCTTTCGATACCTGACGGAAGAAACGGAATAATCAGCGACGTCCCTTTGCCCAATAATTTAATGTTGACAGTCTCTCGAGACCCTAACCGGGATTACGCCTTGTTGACGCTATTGTTATCGGACAGGTTTAAGGATTGCAGGAGCATCATAGTCTATTGCACGAGAAGAGAGGAATGCCAGCGAGTGGCGGCGTTTTTGAGAACTTCTTTAAAAGGCGAAGCCGTAACGCAAGACGGCAATAAGAAGCGAAAACGTTATAATCTTCAGGCTGAAACGTATCACGCCGGTATGGCGGCAAGTAGAAGGAGAACCATTCAAAAAGCCTTTATGAGTGGGGAGTTGCGAATTGTGGTCGCTACTGTTGCTTTCGGTGAGTAAATTTGTATTATTAACCATGTATTGCCATGGTTGTTGAACACATGACATTAGGCTCAATCCGCTCAACCTGTCATGTTTTAGTTAAGTGATAGGTAACATCCAATGCAAATTCTTTAATAATAAATAATAATAAAAATAAAGACAAAATAAAATTTAAAAAAAAAACATAGTCAGGAATCTGGGTATCAAAAAGATGCACTTGAAGATATATAAAATGAATTTGAAAAACAAAAGAAATTTTATTGAATAATTAATTAATCAAAAGTGTAAAATGAATAAAAATGCTGAAAGAGCTCCTACAAATTTAACCAGAATACATTTACATAAGAATGGCATTAACCATATAATAAAAAAAGACGTACAATTACACGTAGAATTCAAAAATGCATTCAAATACGGGAAGTTCTATTTAAAAAAATGTACCATTTTGGCGCCCTACTTTGTGGGCGCTCCCTGTATAATTCCAAATATTTTTAAAATGTGGAGAATATTCAACCATATAATACAAAAGCACTCTATCGAAAAATCTTATCTTCAAGGTACATGACATGCATTTTTAATTAACCGTACCTCCTCCAGTCCCGAAGGTATCTGAAGATCCTGCATACGGTAACCTTAGACTAAAGTTGTATTTCGAGATGAATGCTGCTAACTATCTTTATCATTGCGGATTTAACAGAAGTTGCATCTTACAAATGGGAAATGATTAACATATCTTCTACGCACTACCCCGACGTGGAATTTTGAGGAAATCCTGCACTCTTTTGATTTGAAATCAGATCAACTCTAGAAACGTTACTAAACACAACTTTATCAGAGCAAAAATGGATTTTAACATCCCTACCTGTCAATGTCGGTGGATTAGGTGTGAGGAAAGCAAGTGATTTAGCAATACCAGCTTTTTTGGCTTCAGTAAATAGAGTTTACGACCTTATTTGTGACATGTTACATAAATCTATAACAGTTAAGGTTGATATTCCTTTTTACGATGAAGCTTTGAACTTCTGGAAAACATTACAGCAAAGTTCCAATAGCTTTAATAAAGAAGAACTAACAATACCATCTATACCTTCCGTTCAAAGAAATTGGGACTTGATCAACGTTGAACGTGTAGTAAGATCTATGACACTGACAAGTGAACTCGATATCGCGAGATATAAAGCTTCGGCGGTTCCAGAATCTAACATATGGTTAAATACACTTCCCTCTAAAACCATTGGATTGTTATTGGACAACAATACGTTTCGTATTTCCATCAGCTTACGCCTTGGAACAAACATTTGCGTTCCTCATACTTGCATTTGTGGTACGCAAGTAGACAGCAGTGGAATACACGGACTATCTTGCTCGATGAGCGCAGGTCGACATTCTCGACACTCATCTTTGAATGAAATAATACATCGTTCACTTGCATCGGCAAAATACCCTGCTATGTTGGAACCTGTAGGCCTAAGACGTGACGACAATAAACGTCCTGATGGAATGACCCTTGTGCCTTGGACCAAAGGACAAATGCTAGTTTGGGATGCCACATGCACCGACAGTCTAGCACCATCCCATGTTAATTTATCAAGTAAAACGGGTGGTGCAGTAGCTGAATCTGCGGCAGGTATAAAAATAAGGAAATATTGTTCAATTATAGAACAGAACCATATTTTTATACCTTTCGCAGTAGAGACTTTGGGACCTTGGTGCAGAGAGGCTCGTAATTTTGTGGAGTGTTTAGGAAAACGTATTGCCAGTATTACTGGAGAACCTCGAGCTACTAGTTTTAAATATATTTAAAACAAAAAATCAGTATTGCTATACAACGTGGCAATGCGGCAAGTATAATGGGGACGCTTCCAACTGCGATCCCCATGGAAGAAATTTATTATTTGTTATGAATATTTAAAAATTTTTAACTTTGTAATTAATAAACAAGTGTTTTTTAACTTGTTTTAAGTTGCTGACATCGACATTAGTATATTTAACAATGTATTGAACAGGGACCGCATGTTTCATATTCATGCTGTAACGTTTTTTTAGCGTGACACGTGACTACATTTTCCGTGGGTGAGGCTTACCTCGCACGAAGACGTCATTCTACCTGCGTGAACTTGGCCCCCCAACTTTAGAAAGCAATAATTTTCGCAATTGCATTTTGTTTGCGCGCTGCCAGTTTCAAAATTACGAAGGAATCAAATTTGGGGGGGGGGGGGCAACTTCACAACTGCCCCCAAGTTTACAAATTTGACATTTTTTTTTCTTGTGATCGTTTGCGCTTCGTTTGCGCATGTTTGCCTACCAATACCTTCGTTTGCGCCCCCGTCGTTTTTGAGTTATTCCAAATACAAAATTCCATACTGGCCCCCCATTTTTCAAATTTGCCATTTTTTTTCCATTTGATCGTTTGCGCTTCGTTTGCGCACAATTGCATTTTGTTTGCGCGCTGCCGGTTTCAAAATTACGAAGGAATCAAATTTGGGGGGGCCAACTTCACAACTGCCCCCCAAGTTTACAAATTTGACATTTTTTTTCTTGTTGATCGTTTGCGCTTGCACTTTTCGTTTGCGCCCCCGTCGTTTTTGAGTTATTTCAAATACAAAATTCCATACTGGCCCCCCATTTTTCAAATTTGCCATTTTTTTTCCATTTGATCATTTGCGCTTCGTTTGTGCACAATTGCATTTTGTTTGCGCGCTGCCGGTTTCAAAATTACGAAGGAATCAAATTCGGAGGGGGGGGGGCAACTTCACTACTGCCCCCCAAGTTTACAAATTTCACTTTTTTTTCTTGTGATCGTTTGCGCTTCGTTTGTTGTAGTCTGTTCTGAATTTCATTTTATTTTGCGCTCCGCGTCCCATTTTCAATAAGAATGACAAATATCATTAGAATGCACAATCATTTGTTAAACTTTATTTACCATTAAGGTTAAAGGGCGACTTAGCCTTCTCATTCAAACCTATTAAAATGTCAGTTTAACATCTGCTATAAAATGAAAGATATAAATTGGTACATCAACCCGAGATGACTAAACCTATGGGCACTATGTAAAAGGAACAAAAAAAAAGAAAAAAGTTTTCGTTCCATACATTGATCAGTACTTTCCTAAAGGTCATAGAAACGGTCTATTTTTAGGTTAAAATTTGCTTTCACTAAAAGCATCTGTGGTTAAAATTAAAAACCAAAGAGTTAACGCTTCGCATTCTATGGATTTGCGAGTGTTGACATTGCGCATGCGCACTTTTGATTTTTTTCATATGCGATATGTTTATTTTTACTAGAAGCATCTGTGGTTAAATTCCAAAAACATATCTCTATAAATAATAAAGTTATCATTGCGCATGAGCACATCTGATTTGTACAATACGGGATATGTTTGTATTTACTAGAAGCATCTGTAGTTAAAATTTCAAAGAAATATCTCCATAAATAAAAATGTTGGCATTGCGCAGTCTGCGCGCATGTGCACATTTAATTTTTACTATTTGCGATATTTTGACTTTAGGTAGAAGTATCTGTACTTAGAATTTCAACAAAACTATTAGTAAATAAGAAAGTGGATATTGCGCAGCCTGCGCATGCGCCGCACATTAATCGTCAAAATATTTTCTTGATCAGGTGGCAGAGCCATATGCTAGCGAATGCAAAAAGAACGAATATCTTGGAAACTGTATGAGTAGTTTAGGCCTCGAACAGGCGGACGGACAGAGAAAGTGGCTGCAACAGCGCACCTATTGTAAAATGCGCTAAAAAGTCATCGTGTTTCATTCCTCTGACATCGTGACTACAGAGACCCCGGAGGTGGGCTACTCAGGCTTGTCAGACCCTCTTCATCCAGAACAATGGAATGTAAGGATAGGTAAAGTTAGGGATGAGCATTATGAACAAAATGCAATTGTGCGCAAACGAAGCGCAATCCATTTCAATCACGAAACTTATTGCTTTCTAAAGTTGGGGGGGCCAAGTTCACACATGTCGTCATTCTGCTTGCTCGTCTTGATGTTATGATCCTCACTTGCTTCTTTGAAATGTATACAAAAATGTATTTTCTTTTCTTGAATTTTTTTAATAGGTATTCTTCTATTCGAAACAAACAAATCAGAGATCAAGAATATCGGTCCATCAGTTCTTGAGTTATAAATGTAACTAACCCTACTTTTTTAATAACATAAGATAACTTTAATAATATATAATAATACAATATAAATAATGATAATTAAGATCACTTCACTCCATGCTAGGTTATCAAGACTGTCATGCCCAGGTTGTATATTGATATCTTTAATATATCTCTGAAGAAAAAAAGAACAAGATGGATCGATACCTACATTTCCCATATAAAACATGTCTGAAAGTTTGATAAATGTACCCTGAACAAAGCAGGTACTTATTATTAAAATTTAAAACAGTCAAACCAAACCGTCTAATCTACATTTCCTTACATTTTAGGCATGGGAATCAATAAGTCGGACATACGCGCAGTTATACATTACAACATGCCCATGAGTTTCGAAAGCTATGTTCAAGAGGTGGGCAGAGCTGGAAGAGATGGGCTGCCGGCACATTGCCACTTATTCTTAGATTCGGAGGTAAGTGGGCCAGACTTTACCGCAGTGATGCGCTTACCCGACCTACTTGTTAAAGGGGAAAGATCAAAACGAGCTGAGAAGGCATATCTACGCGAATTCGGTCGACAGGCACATGATAAGGAAGCTACTGCAACGTTGCTTCGTGCCGTGCGCGTGCGCGTCTTCCTGTTCCCGACACGAGGTTGCGTTTTCGATTCAAGAAACCGTACAGGCTCTCGACCTACCCGAGGAGAATATCGAAACCTTGCTGTGCTACTTGGAGCTGCACGGGAAGGGTTTAATAGAATTATTAAGCCATGTGTACGTCACTTGCAAAATTATTTCGTACGGTGGTGCTAACGAGATTCGAAAGGCGGCGAAAGATTGTCCCCCTCTCGCCATGGCCCTAGCATTGCACGCAAATAAAAAGGACCAACATAAAAATATTTTTGAATTTCCGGTTGTCGATGTCGCATCTGCAATGGGTTGGGATAGCGGTATTTGCAAGCACAAACTAAAGAATTTAGAATGGGTTACAGGTACGTTTAGTGAGGAATCTAAACTAACTATAGTAAAAATATCAGTGCCGGATTAAGGGCTCATGGGGCCAGGTCTACAGTTACTGAAAAAGGTGTGTAAACTCAGCGCCGTTAAATTGGCATCGCCATTTTTGTGCAAGGATCACTTGGCGCATTATACATCTAATGTATAATCTCCTATACCTAGATAGGTGTTTTTCACGTATTTTAATTTTTATATAAAAAAATGACGTTTGCTGCCCAATTGTTTCCTTTATGAAAGCGGTTAATTGGGGCTGGTTTCATTTTAATAGAGATTCTGTTTTAGTGTGCGACAAACTTACTGATAGTTCGCGCACAAACAGTCTGAAGCACAAATGGCGAAAGATTTTACGTTTCGGTTAACCACTAAAATGCAAAAGATCGATGATTTAAACATGGTACAGTTGCAAATGTAAATTTAGGACAATCGACATAGGAAAAATATGAAATGTGTGTCAAAATTCAAGTTTTTTTAGAGCGCACCAAACGGATGTAATTTTGACTATTATCTATATAACCCATTAAACTAATTACGGTTAATTATACTTGTCCAAATAGTCGCAATGAAATTTGCCAATTCGGCATTCCAGCAATGCTCTTTTGTTCCTTGGAATGTGAGGTCAAGCGGCGCAATCTGTTATCACGTTGATATTTTCCTTAAACTGCACGACCTTGGCGATTTCAGTCCTGGATTTGCATATGCATTGGGAAACAGTTGCAAAACGAATAAATTCACTATAAAACTTACGGGCGTTATCGGCGGTAAGACAACCAATTGTGTTTTTTATCCCTCCGGAATCAGAATGTTTTTTTATATACTTTTTTTGAAATGGGACATTATTTTGGAAAAATAAAAAAAGATTTAGAGTAAAATCGTTTTTGAATACAAAGAGGTTTCTTTTTTGAATGGAAGATTTGAAAAAATGCACGCTCTTTTTTTGGAACAGGATGAACCGGGATGGGTGGGGCCTTTGTCCCCTGATCTTTGGTTTTTATGTTAAGTTCAAAAGGTAGTATGGAATTATGTTGACCCCATCTTCAATATATACATTGCTCTTTTGGTTTTTAAAATTTCGGAATTTCATCTGAATGCTACCTTTTTTTTCATACCTGTATTTCATCGAACGCTGCCTTTTTTATCATCCCGGAATGTCATCTGAATGCTACCATTATTTTATTTAAATGGGACCTCCCCTTTTTCGTTATTTTTTTTTAAATGGAACCTGCCCTTTTGTTAGTGTACGCCTCTTAATTAAACACTATACAATTTAAATGGGAGTTTATTGAAGAGTAACGATAGCTCCATAGACTGCTCTAATTCTCGACTGTCTTGCTGTCGCATACGAAGTCCCCCATGTGTGGGTCGCGCACCCCTTGTATAAATAAGCTGCCTCAGCATGATGTTTTCATGTTTAACGAAATTCCGCTTACATAAATACAGGGTGTTTAAAAACTACCATTAATCATTGAATTGGAAAATCGTTAAAACTAACCTTTTTTTAAATGGAAATCTTTTATTTTTATAACTGTGTCTTACAATAGTAGATGTTAATTTTATATTTTATTAGGTTTGAATGAGTGGGCTAAGTTTCTCTTTAATAGTAAGAGAAGGTAAAGTGATCACTTTAAAGTTAAGGTTAGATAAAGTGAAACAAATGAATGACGTCTGCCATTCTTGTTAAAACTTGGACACGGAGCACGAAATAAAATTAAGTTTAGAAAGAAAACAATATTGTTTCCACGAAAACGACGGGATAGCCAAAGCTAGCTATTTTTGACATCTAAATTAAATTCAGAATCTTCAAGAGTTATATAATGGTGTATATGGCTTCTGATCTAAAATAATGTTTTGTATTATACACGACGATAAAGGGAGAGTAAGCATTTGCTGAAAGTTAATTCACTTGATTGTTAAAACATTTCTTTGTTCTGGCGGCGATGGTTCGTGGTCGATTCGGATAACGCAAATAGATGTGGGCAGCGATGGCCGCATTTTAAAAATACTCAAAATATATCGCCAGCATATTAAATGCTTCTTGGTTAAATCGGCATTTTAGAAAAGATTACAAATTCAAAAAACTGCACTTTCTGAATGTAAACACAGCAGAATAATTTACAAATTACGGTTGTTATTATTTTATAATGCATCGTGCTTCATTTGTTTAATTTTCCAAGGCCTACCTAAAAGTGTAGGGTCCTTTTGCAAACAATCTTTTGTGCCATCGATAAATACCGGAAATACGTCAAATAAGATACAATTTAAGCATTTTTATTAATTAATGAATTAATCTCATTTTCCCAATATTTGAGGTTAGGAACGAGATTTTGAAAAACGGTTTTTCATAAAGAAAAAGTCATATCATTCCATTTGATTTTTTTGATTTTTTTACGATTTTGGGTCATAGTGTCAAAACTAGCTCCCTGGCGGAGAAAGATTCAACTAAATTACCTATATTTTGGTTGATTCTCATTGCCCAAGGAATCCTCTTTTCAACCATACCAAATTTGTTAAAATCGGTCAAATGGTTAAGAAGTTAAAGCAGGTTATTTAATTTTGTTTTTACGAAAATGATAGATAAACTGGTTCTCTTTAAAAATGTGAAAAAAAAAATGTTTAGTTTATTATGCGAAATTGAAAGAAAATGCAATTTTAAAATTTAAGATGGCAGTTACACCCTCTGTTGGTCATTTTTAGAACTTGAAAATATTTTCCAGCGATTCTTCATGACCGATTTACCCAACAAATTTTTTTACCCCTAAGTCATATGGCGAATGGTTCTCGAGATTTAGCCGAGGACGAGTCTTATTGGGTCACCCAGTACAGAAAATGACGAACTACTTCTTCAATCATTCAAATAGGGCGGAACGCCTCTAATAAAACTCGCGAAAAACCAGCTTGCTTGCTGTATTTAACGAAACACCACATCCAAGTTATGATGCATGTCTTATGACGTTTTTTTCTATTTTCCCGACTCTTAATACTGAGTTTTGCCAAAGATGGTGGAAAAAAGAGATTCCTGCAGCAGATTAATAACATTAACAAATTCATACTGTCCATTAACTTTAATAATAGTCTCGCTTTTAGAGCATCTGCAATGCTATACGAGTGTACTAGAGCTAGGGACACTTAATTGATGATTTTTTAAATAAACCATAGTAGAAACAAACTGTAAACTTTGAAATGGAGCCCTTGGGGCCTTAGGGTTACAACCCCCATAGCCCTTCTTTAATCCAGCACTGATGCTATGGTATGGAATACATTTCACAGTTGGAGGACAAGTATGTAATGAATTTTTAATTGGTGGTTATTTCAGAAAATAGACAACCGAAACGCTCAAAACTAAACGTCCAGTTTTCCAATTTAGGTTTTCACATACTCGCGCCGGGAAACCTAACCGATGCCGCTTTGGACAAAGCCTTAGACGATTTACACGTTCACGTACAAGAGCAAGAACGTACGTCACTACTTCAGCTGCACGCGGTGCACACCACACTCTCGTCAGTTGTGAAACCCACCTTTAAAATGTGCATCTCCAACGACGATATCCTTGAAAGCGTAACGTCGCTAAGAGAGAAAATTCGAGCATACTTTGACGATCCACATCCTCTGGAAAAATTACCGAAATTACCCACAAATTCCGTCAACGAGGAACAAATAATAAGTCACACCAGAGCTTTGATTGGTATGTATCGAGACAATACGTTTACGGGACGAACGATCGCGCGCATCCTGCACGGAATACAGAGTCCCAATTATCCGGCTGTGATTTGGGGTAGATGCAAATTTTGGCGCGCGCATCTTGGCACTGATTTTCACGCCATTTGCCAAATTGCGACGAAGGAAATATTGCGCATGCGTGATATATAGTATTTTAAGACTGAGCCGTATAGCAATTTTAGACGTTTGTGTGATTTTTGACTATAATTTTATTGTATGTGTGTTTTAATAGACAATGAAATGGTGTTTACTTTGTAAATATAAATAAAATTGGGTAGTTCATCTTAAGGCCAAAGTAAGTAACGTAAAAACACACAGAATGCAGTCATCTGACAGAAACTTATAAAGGTAAGTTCATAGCTCTCCGTTCATACGTTTCCTTTTGTTCTTTAGCCAATCAGAAGACAGCAAATTTTTAAATCTTACGTAAAAGTTGGTTGAAGTTGAACATTTACGTTTCAGTTGGTCCGTTTTTAACAAGAGTGAGGTTATGTATGGTACGTTAACAGTTCGCCTATTCGTTCTTCACGGTAATAATCATAGCAACGTGTTCTTACTTTCGTACCATTTTTACATACTGAAAATCACGGAGGGTACAGTACAAAATAAAATTTAGGTTATGATTATACCTTGTAAACGTACGATATCAACGGATTGCTATGAACCTTAACAAAATGTACTATCCGTTGGACGGATCAACGGAGAGCTACGAACCCACCTTAAGTATACTTGCCTAGGCAATTGTTTATTTATTTTATTTCACTCCTTGATCTTGGCTCCATGACCTAACAGTATACAGGTCACTAACAAAAGGTAATCATCATACTCCCCAAACATCCTATATATTTTTTATTTTAATAAAAAAATACGATCAAATTACCAATGACTAGGGTTTCAGCTTGAATGAAAAATGTAGAAAAAATTAAAATAGCACGGTGGTCTATCATAAACAATTCCAAAACTCAATCGTGTATCAAAATGTCGGAGGATTTCATAATCTATTAGAATTAGATCATTGCCAAATTGTAGACGGCGAATACTTTGAGCATTTGGTATAAAGATTACACTTTTAGAGCTTATGACTTTATTTTAATTTTTTTTTCTTATTTTTATTAAAGCATAATTTTAGTTATTCGCATTTTTTATTGTAGTTTTTTTTATTGCGCATTCAAAATTTAAAAAATATACAAGATGTTTCATAATAAAATTAGTTGACGCAATTTTCGATTAAACTGGAAGTAATAAAATCTAACAATAAGTTGGCCAAAAGTCATTACTCACAACGTTTATTTGCTTTCCCGCTAATGAATAACCAACCTTACAAACTAATTGCAACTGAAAAATTACATGTACATACCTAATGAACAACCGCACGAAAATTTTACAATTGAAACAAAGACAAATTTTGAAATCAGTTTAAATTCATAAATTATACAAATGGCGCCATCTAGCGTAAAAATTATAAACAAACTAAAAAATGTAAATATACGTTAAGCAAAGAGTAGATAACTGTTTTGTTATACAGTGTACACATACTGATTTTGAGAAAGATTGATTTTCAAATATCGAAGATAATTGTCCGTTTTGGGACTTGCGTACCCTGTAGGTATGTTATACACTTTTTATGAGCCGGTTTTAGTGCACCGGTCATTCTAATCTGACAACTGGGTACGGTCGGAAATTTACTTCAAAAAGTATCAGTAATTAAAGTAATGCAATCGCAGTAAAGCGGTTATTTATTAAATTTTACTCAAAATACTGAAGATGCTGTAATAATTTTCGACCGCTTGTTTTGCAATTATATGCTTTTGACAACTGATACCTACTTAACCTCAATTATTCTCTATTGTGTATATTGCCTTATTGCCACAATGGATTCTGAAAGTATAGTTCCTTTAATTGTTAATAATATTTTGAGTATTTTGGACGATTCAAGTTCTGATGATGATGAATTTCTAGTATTAACACATTTGATGAATGTGAGTGATTCCACTCGTTTAACGAGAATTGAACATTATGTGGAAAATGTGGTTCATTTATATTCAGATGATCAATTCCAATCACATTTTAGGTAGGTATGGAGTTATATAGTTAGTTCAAACTGTGTGTTACAAGGGTTCTGGGGTTTCAAATCCCAAGTAAGCCTCTGGTACAGCACGGCTGTCTGTGTTTGTATAGTGGGTCGTTGTTAGCCTACTATACAATAAGAATAAGGTCAATTAAAGTATTAAGTCACTAATTGTAATATTTGTAGAATGCAACGAAAAACATTTGACTTTATTTTGTCTTTAATTGGACCAAAAATTAGTGAAAACGTGGTAAAACCTGGACGACCAAGTGTATCCCCAGAAACACAATTGCTGCTTACGTTGTGGATTCTTGGAACACCTGATTCCTATAGGTGGGTCTACAGTTTCTACTTTTATCTACCTATTTTCAATGACCTTTTAATAGATCTGTATCGGATCGTTTTAATGTCGGAAAAGCAACTGCCGTTATCTCCGTAAGAAGAGTAGTAAAAGCGTTGTATGATCATGTACATACATTTATAAAATGGCCAATAGCAGATGAAATGGAAACAAGTATAAGAGTATTTCGAGCTGTAAAAGGCTTTCCAAATGTTATAGGGGCAATTGATGGCACCCATATTAGCATAACTGCTCCTAAGAATAATGCAGAAGCTTATGTGAATCGAAAAGGGTATCATTCAATGCAATTACAGGTAGGTAGTTATTTTCTGCAGGTACATGCTTGTGTAGTTAGCTGTTAGCTTACTACTTTTATTGTAGGCCGTCTGTAACGAAAATGGAATGTTTATTCATTGTTTCACTGGATATCCGGGAGCTGTCCATGATCAGCGAGTATTCCAAAACTCGGATTTACCAGAATTTTTTAGAAATGACACACAATTTCCAGATGATGTACACATTTTGGGAGACGCAGCATATAAGTTGCATAAGCATCTTATGGTACCATTTAAAGACAATGGTCATTTAACAGACATACAAAAAAATTTTAACATGTGTCACTCATCTACAAGAATGGCAATCGAAAGGGCATTTGGACTTCTCAAAGGCAGAATGCGGAGATTGTTAGATACTCTACCAATGACACGAGAAGATCTTATACCAAAGTACATCATAACGTGTTGCATTCTTCACAATATCTGCCTTTTAAAACAAGACCAATTTCAACCATTAGCTGTAGCTATTTCAAATAATGCAAGTGCTGTGGAAATACTGGCAACACGAGAACCGGATGGTGGAGGAAGAGATGTAGCCATAAGAAAACGGGATGTAATCGCTGCTGAATTACCTATGCAAATTGGTGCATGATTTTTACAAATAACGAGGATACGAATGAAAATAAATTTATTATACATTAATAAAAATAATTAGGTATTAGTATCATTACTTTTTCGAAATGTTATCAACAAGTGTGCGTAATAAACTTAATGCTTCTGTACTTTTCTCCATTCTTTCTTTATGATGCTTTTCTTTATCTTCTCGCAACTTGTTTAAAATGTCCACCAATTTTCTATTCTCTACAAAGCGAAATAAAAAATAAAACATTTAAATTTATGAGTTCATACTTTTTGGTGATTGTTTTTTCTTCCCCTCCGTTTTTGGTGAATTTTTGTTCGCTATTGCACATGTTGCTGAGGTAGAAGGTGTAATTGATGTACTGGTAGAGCTACTACTGGCAGCACTATTTACGCTCGCACTACTACTACTGGCTAAAGAAACTGGTACTAACCATGGTTGAGAAGAAAATATTTCATCCATTGCCTAATTATACCATAAATATTTATGTGTATCCATACAAAATACTTACTTCCAAATACGGCCAATCTTTTCTATCATTTCCCGATACTTTATTATGGTCCTTGACCTTTTTATATTGCCTTTTCAAAGTTGCAAGTTTTGTCTTACACTGACTGGCAGTGTACGTATAACCATGTTTAGCCATTAATTCGGCAATACTATTCCAAAAAGCTTTTTGTTTCACCTTCCCCTTCACTAATACATCCTGTTTTTCTCCATACAGGTTTAACAACAAAGTTACTCCTTCAAAGGACCAACGGCATAAATCTAAGTACAAATCTTGTTATAAATATTTCACTTATCAGTGTACTTACCATCAGTATCGTATCCGCTTTGTGGCGAAGTTGGTTCTGTGTAACCTTCAGTGGGATTATCGTGCACAGCAGCCTCGACATCAGCAGCTGAATCCGTGTGATCTTCCGTGGCATTATTGTGCATTCCATTAATTACAGCATGTTGCAATAAAGTAGATGCAAATGCCATGTCTACAAGTTAGAGAAATATTAGTAAGTCAAAGTAACATAATTATTGTATATATAATTGATATGAATACATAACAATTGTAGGTAATTATGCATCTTTTTTGGTTTACATACTAACATACCTTGTGTTGCCCTTGCATGATCTTCAACACTCAGCATTAGTTTATATTGTTTTTTGTGTTCGACGTCTACTAAAACTAATTCTCGCGTCTCCATGTCCATATTTCAGAAAAATTCACACTATTTTACTTTCACAAAAATATAACCTCAAAACGTGTTTACATTTACTTCGTTTACACCAGGTATTTTTCAGAAGTAAAGTGAGTAAACTGGAGTAAATCTCGCGCATGCGTGCATTCAAGTAGGATGTTATTTTCAGTAATATAGCAGTAAATTTATAACCGCAGATTTGTGTATTTTTAGTAAATGTAGCACTTGAAGTAAATTTCCGACCGTACCCGTCAATTGTTTATTGTTGAGTCAGGTTTACACCGTTGAGTGAAAAATTAGGGAGGAGACGACACCGTGATGTAAAATTGCGTTCCGTGGCACTATCTCACTCTTATGTTTCCTTGTCGATCTTATAAAAGGTACTACGATAGTCAAATTAGGCAAAAGATGTGCAATTAAATGCTTTAAAGAAAACCAGAAAATTCTGATTACTTCCGAAGATATGCCGAAAAATTCGAAATTTGCCGATTTTGTTTTTATTTTTTTATGAACAGATACAAAAGATACAAAAAAATGAAAAAGCACTAGAGCTATTATATTATAGTTACGATACAGATAGTACCCAATTGGACATCACGCGTAACCGTTACAAGCCGAACCACCATTTGTGGATTTTTACTCATTGCATCAAAGAAATGACGCAGTTACACACAGCAATGATTTGGGACATTCATTGCAGTCACGTTCAAACTGAGACTGTTATATCGTAACCCCATGCAGTCCGTATTTTGATACATCCGATTTTTAAATTCTCTGGACGCGGCGTGTCAACAGCACATCAAAAAATTTTACAAAATTTGTGTGTTAAAAGATGTTGTTTGAAGAATTGTTTATAATTTGTGCCATAATCACTGTTCTGGGTGACAATTTTGAGATCTTAACTTCTAACAGCAAATTTTGAGACATTTTGGTGACAAGTGTTTTTAGGGCAATTGGACCCTGCTGAATCCGATTTTACCTGTCACCACCTCGAAATCCATCTGCTAAAGCTCCAAATTAAGATGGCGCCCAAAATGGCGACTAAAACTCACTATAAGATCCTTTTCTTGTAATAAACAAAAATATCACAATTTTTATTCAGTACATATGTTTTACTATTTATTACTATTTTATCAAAAAATGTGTAGCCAAAAAAATCAAGGTGGCGGTAGAAAGTTGGGTTAAATAATTTCTTTAATTGCGAAGAAAAAATTTGAATTTCTTTATATGAGGGTGGTACAAATTGGTTAAAATGAGTTTCTCTATCCACCATTGTTAATAATAATTATTTTCGAAAAAAATAAATCAAAATGGTTCCCAAAATGCCGGTATTTTTATGACTTCGTTTCCGTGTGCCTAATATACCTATCCAAAATTTGAACAAAATCCGTCGAGCCGTTCCCTCACACGCACGTACATACAGACGGAAATAGTTATTTGTACAACTAGAGAAGTGGAGAGAGTTAAAAAACACTTTCTTCTCAAGTTTGTATATATTTTTTTCTGAAACTATACAATCAAAATTGAAAAATTATCGTATGCAATAATGAAGTTTGACACATAGCAATCGAGTAACGGGTATGTTTGAATTTTAAATGTCATTATTAAGATTAACGTAGCAATTGTTTTTTACTTTCCTCACTAGAAAGGAAAAAAATATTAAATTACATCAGCAAAATTAAAATCAATCGTCTTGATGTTTTTGCATATTTCTAATCTTTTTAAATTTTGTTTTGTTTTCGATTTATTTTTTTGTGCAGAATTTGTATACGGTAATAAATATGATCAATAAATAAAAATAAATAAATGAATGTGTTTATAATTTGTCTCATAATCACAATTAGTACATTTAAAATCCTTAGAAGCTTCTTTATGTTTTAAAAGATGTTGTTTGATCAAGTGTTTATTATAATTTGTCTCATAATCACAATCAGCACATTTAAATTCCTTTCAACGTTTATGTTTTACTAGATGTTGTTTGAAGAGGTATTTATAATTTGTCTCATAATCACAACTAGCACATTTAAAATCGTTAGAAACCTTATGTATTAAAAGATGTTGTTTGAAAATGTATTTATCATTTGTCGCATAATGACAATCTGCACATTTGAAACCCTTAGTATCTTTATGTTTTAATAGATGTTGTTTGAAGGAGTATTTATAATTTGTCTCATAATCACAACTAGTGCATTTAAAACACTTAGAAGATTTATGTTTTAAAAGATGTTGCTTAAAGTTGCTTTTATAGTTTGTCGCATAATCACAATCTGCACATTTGAAATCCCTAGTATCTTTATGTTTTAAAAGATGTTGTTTATAGTGGTGTTTATTATTTGTCCCATAATCACAAGTAGCACATTTGAAATCCTTCACAACTTTATGTTTTAAAAGATGTTGTTTGTACTGGTGTTTAATATTTGTCCCATAATCACAAGTAGCACATTTAAAATCCTTGCAAACTTTATGTGTTAAAAGATGTTGTCTCAAGTACATTTTATCATTGGTCTGATAATCACAATCAGCACATTTAAAATCTTTAGAAACTATATGTTTTAAGAGATGTCGTTTGAAGCGTTGTTTGTAATTTGTGCCATAATCACAACTAGCACATTTGAAATCCTTAGAAACTTTATGTAATGAGAGATGTTTGTTAAAGTTGCTTTTGTAGTTTGTCTCATAATCACAACTAGTACATTTAAAATCCTTAGAAACATTATGTTTTAAAAGATGTTGCTTAAAGTTGCTTTTATAGTTTGTCTCATAATTACAATCTGCACATTTAAAATCGTTAGTATCTTTATGATTTAAAAGATGTTGTTTGTAGTGCCGTGTATTCTTTGTCCCATAATTACAAACAGCACATTTAAAATTCTTAGAAACTGTATGTATTAAAAGATGTCGTTTGAAATTGCGTTTATAATTTGTCCCATAATCACAATCAACACATTTAAAATCCTTAACAGCTTTATGTTTTAAAAGATGTTGTATAAGAAGGGATTTATTAGTTGTGACATAATCACAAGTAGCACATTTAAAATCCTTTGCAACTTTATGTTTTAAAAGGTGTTTTTTAAGTTCGGATTTATAATTTGTCTCATAATCACAATCAGCACATTTAAACTCTTTAGATACTGTTTTACATTGCGTTAAAAGCTGAGGTTGAAAGTCATAGTGTTGCTCTACTTCTTCATTATAAAGTGATGTAGAACATGGTGTACTAATGGTAACTTCGTCCTTTATTGTCACCAAAACTTCGTTGCTTACTGAAATGTGTCCTTGAAGAAAGGAATCGATTTCTTCCTCTTGTTTTGGTTCAATTTTAATGAGTAGTGTGTCATTATCTCCTTCCATACCTATCAACAATGATGTCATAAGTAAATGTGTTAAAACTCTATTTTTTATTAAACAATATCCTCGATCATCAGTTGTTTGTGAAACAGTCCTAAAGGTATTAAAATATTATTGAATGTAACATCTAGCAGGATCAACATAGTAGACTAATACAAACTATGTCATCCTTCCAATGGTAATTAAAATTAAACAAAATGTAATGCTCAGCGGGAGGTATACTCGTATACTTACCTAAAACACATAAGTATTATTTCTGCCTAAAATAAAAAACTAACATCTTTATTTATGACTCATGAATATAGGTTTCATTCATGAAGATAGGTACTCTTCAACCACTGATATGTCAATGAGCTCAACTCCCAAAGAACAACGCAACTGAAATGCAGCGTTGCCAAATCGAATAGAATCGGCTAAAGCAGTTTTTTAAATAATGGGGCTAATTCTATGTTATTTGGCGTGTAGATAATGCCGTAAAATATTTAAAGTGAAACTCGTTCGTCAGCAACTCGAAGTTCAAAGTGTTGAAAAACGATTCTTTCTTTCGCATCGTGAATTGTGCTCGTTTTGTGCGCCTAATTCCACGTTTTTTGGCGTCAATATTAACCAAGATACGAAATTTTTAAATTGGGGTTACCATCTTAACTCTAAGAACGCATGTTTCCGATCGGAAAATAAAACCAATCTAGCATAGACATATTACCGCATTAATTGAGAAACAGGTATACTTCTATAGATATGAGGGTACAGGTTTAATAATCAATTATCGGCCAGTAAAATAAAATAAAGTTGTCGAAAGGTTACAAAATGTTATAGTAATTGTATAGGACATATGGTACAACAAACTAATAATTCAGAATTCGGCAACGGTTTTTGTAACCATATTGGAATTTGTGCTAGTTGAACTTCAACAATACAAATAAATAAAAAAAACTCTCAGTCTCGTCTCGAAAATTCGCGACGAGATGATACTATCGTCTATGTGGATGTATAAAAACGAATATACGTACCTAACTCACCTATATATTTTTCGACCCACGACATAAGATATTTTTATGATGTAAATATTAACTTATTACTCAAAACTTTATTTTAACAACTATTTTTTATATTATAATTAATATATGAAGATGTAACATAGATATTGTTTAAACAATATAAATACTGTTTTCCCCCTTCTAAATGGTTTTTGATTTTAAACAATATAAAATATGAACATTTAAAAAAAAGAATAATCCAAATCCTAGCTGTTTCTGAGAACTTGCAGAGAAAAACCTTCATTGACGCGGCTATAAGTTGAAGTTACCTTTTCGATGGAAGGGTAATGTCAATCGCAACCGGATGAAAATTTCATCAATAAAGTAAAAGTAAGGTACCTTACATTTTTGATTTGTATAAAATATTGATCGATTTTTTATGAATTTGTTGTATTTAACGTAGTCATAATATTCCTAAAGGAGCAGACCTGTGATAATCAACTGCATGAAACAAATTTGTATCGCATTTTATTGATAACAATCGAATCCAAAAAATAAAATTAATTGTTAGTGAAGTTTTGCCAGTGTCGTAGAGGTTAAATTTCATTTAATATAAATAAGGGTTCTCAATCCTTATAACTGTAACTAAGTCGGTACACATTGTGGGTTTGATCGATTTGTGCACATCCAACAGCAACATGTAAAGGTATCCTGCGTAACCAACTAGATCTGAGCAATAATCACAATAAGTATATAAAACAAATATAATTAGTAATAAAAGTAACCATAAGAACTTGCACGCAACGTACAGTATCAATTCGTAAATCTCTTTCTTACACAGTCATCTTTATAATTTACTTTTGCGCATCCTGAACCATATAATAATGCACTATATAAATCACGAATATACTAATTAACGTGTACATCCATTAGGTAATGAAGTTACCTTGAGATAGCTGCTGCTAGACAATTTCAATTGCCACCGATGATTATGCCATCCATCAAAATGTTCAGAATAACAAAAATTATGTACTCGTCGTCTAATTAATACGGTATAGGGTTACATAACAATTCCCTGAGAGCAGTCGATGCTGTATTTAATAAATTTGTAGTTCCGTTTATCCTGGAGGTTCGTGATCTTCTTCTTCGCGCGTTCCTCCTTGCACTTCCCGCAGAACTCGCACACGAAGATGTGGAGCGGACTTTGATAGCAAATGTTTGCGCTCGTCAGTTTCTTGTTCTTCTTGTGCGCCCACACGTGCAAGCAGATCTCAAAGGCGCCCATACAGGCGATCACGATCGGGTTCAGAAACAACGTCGCGCAGAATAAGAAAATTAGGCAGGGCATCATGTCCGAGGTGATGTATTCGTTAACTGTGTCCGCTTCTTGTTTTGACGGCACGAGGTTGGCGATTCGAAACTTTCTGCATCTCGTTTGCGCATCGGGGGCTGACGAATTTATTTCCGTTTCTCCGGTTTCCAAATTGACTGCTGGCACTAACATTTCTCCAGTCTCTTCGTCGCGTACAGCCTCTCCCGTTTCGAAATCCATTCTTTCTGAAAGAACAGTTTTAGACTCACTTAACCGTTTGATAAACTGAAGAGTATAGGTGAGAGCATCGCAACGATTTCGCAAGAACTGTAATCATTGCGATAACGATTATCACATCAGTTGATATTTTTGACTCCCGATATGATAAGAACCCTATTAATTTATAGATGCATTCACTGTGTTGATTGCAAATCAATATCAGATGACAGTAGTATTGCACCAGCTCGATCACGTGAACGATGCCTCAGTTCTAGGTAATACCAATTATTAAAAACTGGTTAATTACGACTACTTCTTATTAATTGGGTAGCCGCGGTACATTATTTTGTTTACCTTGAATGCTGCATGAACTTTGTTTAATGTAGCTGTGATGTAACCATCGCAACTTTTTTTAATTTAACCGGTGTAGGTAAGAAGATAACGCACAGAATAATGTAACGCGTTATTTAAATTCAAATAAAATTCACCCCACCGTCTTCAAGTTAACAAAGGTCTTTCGATCTTTGACACCGCTTCCAGCTATTGTTTGAAATAATGGAACCTGGCATTGTAAGTTTACATATTTGCCTGCTAACTTAAAAATGTCTGACGTAGAATGAGGGCCCAGGGCCATTTTCAAAACTTCTTAGTCCATGTACTTTTATTGATAGAGTGTGCGCAGCTAACAAATTGATCGTCTCGGTTAAATTTCATTATTTAATAAAAATTGGATGGTGCACATGATTTGCAGGAATTAACTAAATAGATAAATTGTACTGTAGGTACACCAGTAATTATCTAAATATACAGTTTTTATTTTAAAATTATTGAATATAGACCTGCGCCTATTAGGATGGGGCCGCGCAAATTTAGCAACTTATGTGGATAGTGAGAAAAAATTACACTTACGTATTATTGCACAATCATTAACATTACATACTCCAATTTCACAGAAACCAAAGAGTATGAACTTTTTGCAGAAACGTAATGAACACAACGTCGCGTCTGCCGACTACTGAGACTGACGTGTGCGAACGTATAGAAGCAACTAAATCCTTAATCCAATACCTACTTATTACGATAATGTGTAATTTGTACCCACTTATTGCATTAATTACGTTTATGTAACAATAACAGTGTTTTTCGGTTCAGCATACCAGCTGGTTGTTTGGAGTAATTTGTTGTATTCGCATCGCATTCTATAGGTATTTATTTACTCCCATTTAAAATAATTATGTAATCAACGCAAATTTACTGCGACGCCAGTAAGGTTTGATGGGTAGCATTGCATGCCAGAAATTGAAATATTCGAGGAACATTTTGTAAAAGTAAAATGTAGGTAATTAAAAATGCGTTTAAATTTTAATTTGAACATTCCAATCTAGGCATCTGTTCTATGATCTATTTTAGATTTAAATGAATATCTAACTATGATTTTTGAAATAATGTCTTAATTTTACTCTAAAAAGCCATTTTTTCTAATTTACGGAACATCATAAACATACCACAATATAAGGGCATAGAATTCCAACCAGTTCCGCCGTGATTACGTCACCTATGACGTATGCCATACGCATATTGCTCAAATGAGTAATTGGGTATTATTTTAAAAAGTCGAGGTAAAAGTAAATACACAAATGTATATAGTAATAGTGTACAACTTAAAATAATTCGTTAAACCGCTCGTGAGCAAGAGGCGAAGAGTGCACTTTCAAATTTGTTTTTAATAGCCCTTATGGACGTTTCACGCCTTAACGATGAGATGCCCCAACCTTAGCAACACCGTGTGAATATGATTGTAAATACGAAGCACCCCATACATCATGTTAGTTACAAAAGGCTGCCAACCGAAATCTGGTGGGAAAGAAAGAGAGCGAAGATGAGACGGGTGGAATTTCTCGGAAGACATCTGTTTGCATCTCAGCAACTGCAGTTAGAATTTTCCTAGAAATGCGTGAAATGAAGGGAATATGGGCGTTTTTCGGATGGATTTTAGGGGTGTTAAGGGATCAAGTGGGGAAGTTGATAAATAGGTAAGCTGCAGAGAGTGTTTTCAGCATCTTTTTTTTTGTAACCGGCTTAAGTGTGAAGTATGGCTTATCTTGATATATTTTTGTTATACCTTAAACATTGCTGTGTGCTTTTGCTTTTTATATAAGGTGAGGTATTTGCTTAATTTAATTATCTATGAATGTGTCTAACGTAAATGCAGATTATAACCCTTTACTTATGTAACTAATTTTCTATCGGTCAGTTGTATAAGGTGTAACCTTTGCTGGTGTTGGCAATTTTTTTTTTGTCGGTAGGGCTGTGTCCGTTTTGTACATATTTGTATATGTTCCGATATTTGTGTATAGTGATTTCTAGTCACTCTCGAACCTCTTTGGTCTAGGTTGGATAATTTTATTGCCTTTTGTTATATTTGTTTATTGTGCTGTGATAAGCTTGAGTAGCCAAGAGGGAAGTGTGTGTGTTTATTGGGTGAACCAAACACTATCAGTTTCACTCGTTCCGAAACCCAACAACTCTAGCCCACGTCCACAGGCACCCCACTGGGCTTGGGTAATCCTACTGTCCGGCGAGGCACATTTAATATCTTTTAGTTTTGTCTAATGTATGTGTTGTAATACCTGGGGAATGGCTCCATTCGAGGCCTACGATACTTACAGGCCGGAGCGCTCGAAAAAGTCACGTGACCTTAGGAGTAAGTTCGGGACACATTAATTACATTATGGCGTATGGAAAATCCGTACGCGCCTCGACTATTTAGTTTTTACTACGAATTCGTTTAATATAGAGCCACGAAATTTCAACGAGAGCTGGTCAATGGTACAGACAATTAAATTATGGTGTTTGTTAATTTTTAGTAACAATGGAAATTGTTAATTTTAAGGTTTAAAGTCGTTGAAGATAAAACGAAGATAATAAATCCGTGTTTTTCTATATTTCCACCGTCATATTTCTGTTTCTAGGAACGATATCATTATAATTCTTTCGGTGTCTTAAACTAGAATGATATGCGCCTCCAATTATGCGTATATAAAGCCTTATCTGGTATCTGGCATTAATTATCCGCGCAGAGCAAAATTCACCATGCGAGAAACTTTTTTATTGTTAGTACAATTGTGTCACGTACATCGAATGAATTGTGACCAAAGGACACAAAAATGTTTTTCAGAAGGAATTTTTAAGAAATGGTCTTTTGTAAAGTTTTAGTAAATAGCGCGACTTTAGAAACACGCGAACGCGCAATAGAAATTATTATTTTTTAAATAATTGTTACTAATGGACTTTCAAATAGTGTTTGTAATATTTAGAGAACCATTAAACTTACAAAATTAAAAAAATTACATACAGGGTTGGTTCAAAGTATGGATATTCTTTTTATAATCTCAGTTAATATTAATTTTACATTAATTTACTTATATGAAAAAGACTGCGTAGCCTGCGGCTAAAAGCGATGCTTTTCTTGTTTACGTCCTATTTAAGGCGAAACCGTTCTTCCGAAATTAAAAATTACAACAACCGATCATACACAGTTGACAACAAGGATTATCCCCTCAACGTACGTTAATAGACCAAAAAATAAAGGTCGAATAATTTAATAAATCAATTCGTTATCAGACATTAAGAGATAAATCCAAACTTAAATTCTAGGAAAAATAAAATTTCATCTCTTAACTACACAGAAAAGGCGATAAATCACATCCACCTGTCAATTAAATTAAGCATTTACATTTGATCACAGATAAAGACCAAACAAACTTCCCAGAAATGTCTACGTTAAATAAAATGTAAACAAAAACATCCTTGACCGCTTTCTCGTATGACAATAATACCTAATTTCCAAGCCGTTACATAGACCAATGACATTAATAAAATTTCATTACGAAAGTTAATTACACAAAAAAAGACCGCCCTTGTCCATCTTAAGATTTCCGAAAATTTCATCCTGCCAGACGAAATAAACACAGCAATATATATAACATATACAATATGATCAAGAGGTAAGGTGGTTATATGATAAGGTGTTTTTTAATATACATATATACAAATGTACATGATTCATGTTTTCGATTTAAAATGCATATACTTTAGATATACTTTGTGTACAAAAATATATATTTCTAAAATATATTCATACTGGACTTAAAATACTTATGTCCATAATGAGTGTATATAGGTACATAGTATATACATAAGATTCCTTTAAATTTTTTTTTTGGATTTAAAAGGTAGGTTCATAAGATATTGAATGGTATGTGGGTAGCAATGCAAACACATCAAAAGGGAGCCTTTACAGTTTAAGTGAACTCAAACAATGATACACGTTATTACATTTGCAATATCTGGTATGTTTATAAATTTTATTTTATTGTAATCTAGAAGTAAGTAGTTATAATGCATTTTGTGAAATATATAATAAAACAATTTTTAATGTATCTATGGACTAAATTAATTATTCAAATTGTAGCAGTTAATTAGCAGTGCCCGAGTCACACTATCAGCCTAGTGGAAAACAATTAAAGGCGCTAAAAACAAAACCGTTTTTCCGACATAGTGTACATAATTGTTAAATTTACTCCTTTCAATGAGCTAATTTCAGATGCACCTGTGATTTGAAGATAACGTCTAATGTATCTCAAAAGGTGTTGCTGAAAGTCAAATTAATTATTTGTCACACAATTAGCACACTTAAAATCCTTCGAAATTATACTTTCAAAAGATGCAAATAGCACATTTGAGAACCTTCAAAACTTTATATTTTAAAAGGTGTAGTTATACCCTGTATCTAGGGTTCAAGTATTAGTAATTAATATTATAATGTTAAAATATTTTTCTGTCTTTGTTATATGAGTATTTTTAATTTTACTGTTATTCTATACATATATTTAAACTTTTCTTTTTTGTTACTGTACCTACTTGTTTGCGTATTTGTTATATGGACTTTGTCCGTTGATTGGATACACATCTGTTGGGTAAAATATACAAACATTATTATATATATTATTCCCTAATCACATTTAAAATGTTTTAAAAGATGTCGTTTGAAGTACGCTTTATAATTTGTCTCAAAATCACAATCAGCACATTTAAAATCCTTAGAAACTTTATGTTTTAAAAGATGTCGTTTGAAGGTGCATTTATCATTTGTTTCAAAATCACAATCAGCACATTTAAAATCCTTAGAAACTTTATGTTTTAAAAGATGTCGTTTGAAGGGGTATTTATAATTTGTGCCATAATCACAAATGGCACATTTAAAATCCTTACAAACGTTATGTTTTAAACGGTGTCGTCTGAAGTACGTTTTAACGTTTGTCTGAAAATCACACTCGGCACATTTAAAATCCTTAGAGGCTTTATGTTTTAGAAGATGTCGTTTGAAGGTGCATTTATAATTTGTGCCATAATCACAAATGGCACATTTAAAATCCTTACAAACGTTATGTTTTAAAAGGTGTCGTCTGAAGTACGTTTTAACGTTTGTCTGAAAATCACACTCGGCACATTTAAAATCCTTAGAAGCTATGTTTTAGAAGATGTCGTTTGAAGGTGCATTTATCATTTGTTTCATAATCACAATCAGCACATTTAAAATCCTTAGAAACTTTATGAATTAATAGATGTCGTTTGAAACTGCTTTTAACATTTGTCCCATAATCACAAGTAGCACATTTGAGAACTTTAGAAGCTTCATGTGTTAAAAGATTTTGTTTGAAGATGAGTTTATTTGTTGCATAATCAGAAGTATCACCTTTAGAAACTTTATGTTTTAAAAGGTGTTGTTTGAAGTACTTTTCAACATTTGTGTCATAATCACAATCAGCACATTTAAAATCCTTCGAAACTTTATGTTTTAAAAGGTGTTGTTTGAAGTACGTTTTATTATATGTTTGATAATCACAATCAGCACATTTAAAATCCTTAGAAACCTCATGTGTAAAAAGATGTCGCTTTAGGCTGCATTTATCATTTGTGGCATAATCACAATCGGCACATTTAAAATGTTTAGTGTTAAAAGTGTTATGTTTTAAAAGATGTCGTTTCAAGTTGCATTTAACATTTGTCCCATA